TGGCCCAGGGCTGTGGGAAGTGGGAAAGGGAAGGTTTCTCCTTCTCCTGCCTGCTTCCTGCCCTGGCCATCCCTCCCCCTGGCCTGGCCTGGCCTCTCCCAGGAGAGGCTCTGGAGTCGAATGGATGAAGCTGAGTGCAGGGGCTGTGCTGGGAATTTGCCTCCCGTGAGCCCCCTGGGCTGGGATGGTTCAGGCTAAGGATGCTCTGGGGGAAAGGAGCTCTGGCTGGAGGCGAGGGCCATCAGGGCACTGAGGAGTAAGTGCAGCTTTGGATTCATTCAATCATCCATCCATCTATCCATGTATCCATCCATCCATCCATCCATCCATCCATCCATGCATCCATCCATCCATCCAACCAATCCATTCGATAAATGTCTGACTCCTTAGCAAGTGCCCAGCCAGTTTTAGGTACAGGGATACAGCAGCAAGCACAGGAATGATCATAACCAGCTCTCTGGGCCTGCAGAAGGACTGGACCCCCACTTGAGACCTGGCTCCTGTGCCTGTTTTCCCACCTAGGCCAGGGACCTTGCCTCTTGCTTCCTCCTTGCCCCCATCTCTGTGCCTGAGACCTCCTGAGATGAGTACCAGCCCCTGGTGGTGGTGGGGAAGGTGGAAGTGGCGGTGACCGCACGGTGGAGCCATCACTGGCCCTGGCATCATGGGACTGGCTCCTTTGGGCGAGAGCTGTGTGCTGTGGGATCCCACGACCATGCCACTGGGTGGGAAGAGGAGATCCTGGGGCCTCTGCTGCCTTCAGCTGTGGGGCAAACAGTGGACGTGGATGTGAGGCTTAGGGAAGAGGTGACATTTGAGACAAACCTGGGAGAATGGCTAGGGTTTCAGGAGGCTGCAGAGGAGAGAGGAAGAGGGGAAATGAGTTACCTGACCTCCGAGCCTCATCTGCAACATGGGGACGATCCCCAGGGGAGGGCTCAGCAGGATTTTATAGAGGGAGGTATGAGTACCTAACGTGGTGGACACCATTGAGAAGGTAGTCAGTACATGTCTCTTCTCTCATCCAGCACTAGAAGAGAGAAGGATTTAGAAGTTTTATGCGCTGCCGAGTCAGGGTGGGCAGGGGCGGCTCTCAGTGATTCAAGCCATGTTGGCCGTGGCTGGAGTTGTCCATAGGCCCTAGGTCTTCATTTTCCTACCTGTAAAGTGGGGACAGAGTAGCTTTCCAGCCCAGTGCATGTGCAGTATGATGGAGGGGATCTATGGAAAGGCCCTGCCCCTCAGAGAACACTGGGATGTGTTTGTCACCTCATTTTCCTCCAGTGACAGGCCAGTCAATATCCTGGAGTCTTCAAAAGACCAGAAAGGACCCCTCCCCAGCCAACAGAACAGCTCTTGGACTGCTGAGGGAGACTCGAGGAAACTGGCCCTTGTACCCTCAAAGTGATCTCTTTATGTTCACTCCAGCCTTCCTTCCCCTTTCAGCCTTAAAAGGCCCGGGCGTAGGATTCTGCCAGACCTGGATTCGAATCCAGGTGCTGCCATTTCCTAGGCAGTCTTTGGGCAAGTCGTTTGCTCAGCCGTGGGCTGGGGCTGAGAGCGGGGTTTGCGCAGGCTGAAAGGAAATGATGTCCGCAAACCTCTGACTCAAAGTAGGTGCACCCGTCTCTTGGTGGCAGACAGCGCCTGGCCTGTCCCTTCCTGCTGCCCTCTTTGTTTCTGTTGGTTCCTCTGCCTGAAACACCCTCCCCACTGAAACCTTACTATTGTGGGCAGACCCAGGGAAGAGGGAGGGTTGTGCTTGGGAAGCAGGTGTTGAAATCTCCGTGCCAGCAACTTGGTTGACCAGTTCTCAGTTAAGCTGAGTGCTCCCTAGCTCTGGGTGGGTGGGGAGGGAACGCGGGTATCTAGAGTGCCATAAGAAGCACATCGCCCCCCTGGCCCTTCACACCAGTCCTCAGAACGGTCCAAGGACAGAGCTTTTCTGCATTGTCAACACTGGAGCTGGCTGAGCCAGGTTTTCTCCACCACTGCCGGGAGGGATGTCAGGGCGGATGACAGGCTCTTCAGTCAAGCCAGCTGCTGTCCACATACGGGGTCTGTCCTCAACCTCCTGGGAGCAGGCCAGCCGGCTGCCAACCCAGTCTGGCTTTGGAAATAAAAAGCCCATGAAATCATTTGTGCAAGCTCATCCTGGGGGTGTGGTGTGTGCAGCTCAGGAAACATGATTGAGACGTGGTGGGGCGGAGGGGGTGGGGCAGAACTCGGGGCAGGAGGGGAGAGGAGAGGTGGAGGGGCTGGGTTGTGTGGTCTTCAGAGCCTGGCCACTCAGTGCCATCTGTAGCCGAGCATCACTAGGGAGCTGTCTGCCCAAGCCCTTAACTGCTGAACCAGGATCTGCATGGTAATAAGATGCCCGGGTGATTGGTGTGCACATTCTAGGCTGAGACTCGCTGCTTTAGAGACTGGACTAGCTTTGAGTCCCAGCTCCCTGCTTGCTAGCTGTGTGACCTTAGACAAGTTACTTTACCTCTTTGAACCTCAGCTCCCTCATCTGCAAGATAGGCTTAGTTAGAAATTCTTTCCCCCGGAGGGTTAATAATTCACATTAAAGCCAGTGATGTGTGTCCAAGGCAGTGAGCTGGGTGTGTGGCACCCAGACCGTACCCCCCAGTTAATGGTTGCTGGTGCTGTTGCTGTTATTGTGTCTGGAGAGCCAAAGATCTGGGCTCCCGCTGTCACCTTGGGTAGATTTGGGGCAAGTCTCATTCCCTCTCCGGTCCTCATTTTCTCCATCTGTACAAGGGGTCTATTGGCCCCTGCCTCGCCTTCCTCATGAGATGGTTGCTCAAAGGAGAATTGAGGGGTGCTGGGCTTCATTTCAAAGGGCCCCTCTGGGGAATGGGGAGTGTCAGGGAGGTGCCCCTGGGTGCCTGCATCCAAGGGAGGAGCTATGTCATTCTTTATTTTTTGTGCCCTTCTTTGCTACTCCTGTTCTTGCTGCAAGATGTGTTAGAGGGCTGGCTCTAGACGCCAGGCTGCAGCCAGAGCCACGCTGGGGCTCGCCTTTGCACCTGACATGCTCAGTGGCTTTGGAATTGAGTCGCCTTCCCCACTCTGAGCAGCGTGGCCAGGAGAGATGATTCAGCTCGGAACCTGTGCTCCAGCCTTCACCCCTGAGGGAGGCCCCAGATGTCCTGTGCTCCTGGGCAGGGGTGGAGTGGCCTAGGAACTTTCCCCCCACTGTGATTCCTGTCCCCAACATGGGGCCTGCTCTTCTCGGTGAGAGATGGCCTGGGACTGGACTCCTAGCCTTGCTCCTGATATACTGGGTTATCTGGGCAAATGGCTTGACCATCCGGCCTCAGTTTCCCCATTTGTACAATGAGAGGAGGTTCAGTAAGATGATCCCGGCTGGATTAGGCCCTTAAGTTCCCTCCCTGCCCCCTCTTAGCTTCCTCTGTGCCCTCTAGCCCTGGGAGGAATCCCTTGCCCTCTAGGTCTGGACCCTGGAACCCACACAGATCTCAGCCTAGCAGCTAACGCTAGGGCTGGGAAAGGCCGGAGGAAAGAGGGAGAGGGAGAGAGTGTGTGTCCTCCAGGAGCCCTGGCCGGGGCTGTCTCCTGTGGGAGAGAGGAGGAATTTTCCTCTGTGTGTGCAAACACTATCCGTTTTCTCTTGTTTCCAAAAGCCGGTGACGTAACCGGCTCTCCACCCCTCCCTCCCCTCTGGCCTATTTTTAGCTGGCCCCGACAGCATCCTAAAAGGGTTCCAGACTGCCCTGCTCCGAGGCCATGTAGGGAGGGTAGCAGTCGGGTGAGGAAGGAGAGAAGCTCCTCTGTCTGTCCCAGGATGGACAGACATCCCAATAGGGAAAGAACCTGCCCCCAACTGCCTCCAGGGAGGGAGGAACTCTGTTGGAGGAGCTGGGTTAGGGCCTTCAGGCTTTGACAGTTCCTGGGTCTATGAGGAGCTCCACAAGGGGATTCTGAGCAACCAGTCTGGAGCCTCCCCACCTGGGTTTCAGTCCTAGCTCCACACTATCTCACCCTGGCCTTGGGCTTGTGCCTCTGGGCCTTGCTTTCTTGCACCTGGGGATAATGATGGTACCTACGCCATGGGTGGTTATGAGGATTGAATTAACTTCATGTAGAACAGTGCCTGGTACAAAGTAAGTCTCAGGGAAGGTGGTTCTGGAATTGGTATTATCATCTAGCCCCAGGGAAGTGCTCCCACCCCTTCCTGCGGCTAAGGGCAGGGGGGTCCGCTGAACCCTCCTCTGCCTTCTCCCCTCCTGCTTTTCCTGTTCAGCTTCGGGCAGTATGCATGTGAAAGTAGTGGTGTGGAAGCCCTTGGAACAACAGGGCCTGGCACATAGTAAACGCTAAATCAGTGGGAACTGTATTTATTGAGTTTTGTTTTAATGTAATAAAACAAACCTGGGTTTGAATTCCAGCCCCACCCACTGACTCGCTGTGTGTCTTTGGGCAAGATGTTTATTTAACCTCTCCGAGCCTCAGTTTCCACAACTGTAAAATGGAATGATAACACCTACATAGGAGCGTTCTGTGTTGGTTTGGGGAGGCTGTAGGGCATCGCAATGCTTAGCACAATGGGTGCAAAGAAGAGCCTGAGAGTGGAGCTGGCTGCAGCCTGGCTTCTAAGGACTGGCTTAGCTACTGCATCTTGCAGCAACAGCAGAAGCAGCAGCAAGCAGTGCTTGCACAGCACTTTACAGTTTGCATGCAGGCAGGTGGTGGTCCCTCCCACCTCTCTCTTCACGAAGTCCTGGGCTCATGCCTTAATGTGGTGCTTGTCACCACCAGCTGGTACTCTGGTTATCCATCAGCCTGGCTGTCCTCTCACACCACCTCCCCTAGGCTGGGAGCTCCCAGAGGGCAGGGAGGGATGGATGCCCCAATGCACCTTCCTTGCCCAGCTCCAGATAGGCCCCGGGTGGGTGTTGGGGTTGTGTCTGAGGGCTGGACTGGCACAGGGAGCTCACCTTCTGACCACCTGTTCCTCTTGGCTTTTGCAGATGGGAGGAGGAGCTCGCCAAGCGCATGAACCTTCAGACCATGGTGGACACGCTGCAGGAGGTAAGAGCCCTCAGACATCCCGACCAGGAGAGGCATGCCAGAGAGCCATGTGGCCAAGGGGCACAGTCTTCATGCGGCAAAGCCAGGAAATTCTTGCACAGCCCCTACTCTGTTACCTCCTACTGCCTCAGTCTCTCCTTTATGGAGCCAAGACATCTCTTCCACTTCCTCTGCTTGGAAGCTAGGAATGGACCGGCACAGTGTTGCACAAGAGCTCTGATGCAGGGGTTGAGAAGCCTGGGTCTGGGTCCCAGGGTGCAAGTCCCAGCTGCTGTATGAGCTGGGACCAGTGACCCTTCTCACCAGTCACTGTCTCCCCACCTGAGGCTTGGACTAGGTGGTCTGTAAGCCCCCAAGCAAGAAGGGTGCCCCCGGTTGGGGCTGAAGGCCTTGGAGAGGGCAGGTGGGCATGTCACAGGTGGGCTCCCAGCCTGAGCAGGCTCTCTGTGGTGGGCATTTGGAAACATTCCCCTTACTGCTCTAGCTGGAATCTCTGCATTCTGGGCTCTGCAACTCCCCCGCCTGTGGTGTAACCTGAGCAGCAAACTTCATCTTCTCAGCCTCTATTTTCCTCTCTGTCAAATGGGAACAAAAGTAGCAACCCCATGAGAAGGCATGAAAAGTTCTTCCAAAAATGTCTAGAAATTGCATTCTGATACTGAAAGCATTTATCGTCTAAGAAAGAGACAGATTAAGATAATTGCCAGTGGGTAGAAGGAAAAGTTTGAATGTCTCCCTTTCTTTTATAACGAAAGTGCTTTTTTCTTTATAAATTTAATGGGTTCATGGTCAAATATGTGGAAGCTATAGAAAAGCACAAAGAAAATACAAATGATCTCCAGTTCCACCCCTCCACAGTTGAAAAACTGGCGTGTGACCTTCCGATCTTGTCTGTGCAGACGCACACCCACGCTCTTTAGATGCATGTTAGGTCGACACACATGACATTGTCATTTTTGAAAGCAGAGATGGCCCAATATTGGCAATTTCACACGGATTGATCTCATATTTTTAATGTAATAGGATTGCTTGTTAATTAACCTGCTCTTTTAATACCTGCCATGGATTTTCCCACGTAATAGAGAATCCTTTGGAAAGTGTTTTAAGCAGTCAGCAGTGTTCAGTGGGAAGCCAGGCAGGATGAGGTCCTTGGTGCCCCTTCCCTGGCGTGCAGGTGCCCAGCTGGGGTGGACATCGGGTGCCTAGTGCTCTAGACTCAGGTGTCCAGACCCTCCTATCCCCAGAGGACCTGGCCCCTCTGAAGCCTCCCCATCTCCGTCCCCGCAGGCAGCACAGGAGGCTGATGCCATCCAGGAGGAGATGAACGAGAAGATCGAGCGGCTCAAGGCCGAGCTGGTGGTGTTTAAGGGGCTTATGAGTGACGTAAGTGCCGCCCGCCGCCCCTGGGTGTCATGACCTCCCCCACACCCATCATGCAAAATGCTTCATTCCCTCCGAGGCTCTGGAGCTCGGCTTCTAGTTAGAATCCTGGCTGGCTGTGTTTGACCGTGAGGATGACGGATGCATTGGATGCATCGGAGACCAGGCACCCTCCTCCCGCCCCCTCCCCACTTCCGCTTCCCTTGTTCTGAGTAGAGATGCATTAATCTGCCGCTTAACCCATCCCGCCCTGCCCCGGGCTCCCCTGATGGTCTGTGTGTGTTTGCTCCCACTCCTTCCCAGCTCGCCTTGATGAGGGCAGGCCTTGGTGTCTGGGCGCAGCGGGGTGTCTGGCAGGTTGGGCCGGGTGCCGTCTGGTCTGTGCGGGCCTGAGAGACTCGCAGGCCCAGCGGCCTTCGGCAGGGTTGCTCCTTGAGGCCAGGAAAGGCCGGCGTGCGTGTCTTTTTGACAATCCGGGGCCCCTCTGAGTATCCGTGGGTGGGGGGAGCTGTTGGCCGCAAAGGGCTTCTTGCTGCTGGGGACCCAGGTCTCCTCCTTCCAACACTGGGCAGTACAGGGGGAGACCCCACCAGAAGGCAGAAGGGGCCAGAACGTGGGTGACTGAGCCTGGCGTGGCTCCTGGTGTGGAGGGGCGTGAAGCTGGGTGAGGTTGGTAGAAGCCTCCCAGGACCCTAGTTGGAGGCCACCGGGCTCCCTCTCACTTGTGTCCAAGGGGATCCACCCTGTGGTCCTCAGTGACTCCCACTGCTGGTCGTGGGAGGCATCCGAGAGAGAGAGCTGCCTGTGTCGGGGACAGGCGGGGTGTGCGGGCGGGAAAAGAAGGGCTCTCTTTCTCCAGCGGGAGTTTGGCTTGCTTTTTCCTTTGCGCTAACAAAGTAAACATGGATCCTGTGTCTGCTGGGAGGATGCCTTCCAGCCCTTAGGGAGAGCAGCACACACGGTGTCACACTGGCCCCCGACTCCCAAGGCCCCGACCCCATCCCACCCTGAGCAGCGCCGCAGCCCTCCACTCCACGGAAAAGCCTAAGGCACCCTTGGACTCCGGAGGCCTCCCCGCACCACCCCTGCTGACACCTAGGGGTCTCCCCACCTCTGTGTCCAACCCCCCAGGCTTGCTCCATCCCTCGCTCATGTAAACCCTGCTGTCCTCCCTGCAGCCCATGACAGACCTGGACACAAAGATCCAAGAAAAGGCCATGAAGGTGGACATGGACATCTGCCGCCGAATCGATATCACGGCCAAGCTGTGCGATGTCGCACAGCAGCGGAACTCGGAAGACGTGTCCAAGATCTTCCAGGTGACTAGGGCTGCCCTGCTCACCAGCCAACCCCCCGCTCTCCCAGAGCAGCCCTGGCCACCAGCCCTGCCCAGCCAGCCCCTGTTTCCCTCCACATCCCACTCACTCCCTCCCCTTCCCCGAGAGGTAGCACTACCGGACCCTGTGGCCTCCCCAGGTAAACGTAGAATCAGGCACCCATGGACTCATAGGCTCGTCTGACTGCTTCATCCTGTGGCTGGGGAGACTGAGGCCCGGAGGGTGATGTGCTGTGCTCAAGGAAGGAAGTGGCAGAAATCAGTCTCCTGCCCCTCCAGGGCTTGGTCCACCAGCCTACACTGTACCCACTGCCCCACTTCCTGCTCCTTCCTCTGGGTGCTCGGACTGGGCATCATCCCCACGGTTGGGGAACCCTGGCCAGGTTATGGGGAGAACTGGGGGAGCTGGCCTGAGCTCTGGTAGAGGGACCTCAGAGTTCAGAAGGGGAGCTGTTGGCCTTTGACTATGTTTCATTCCCCCCCAAAGAGGCTCTCGATACCCCCCCGACCTAACGTGCAAGTGTGGGTGCCCCCGAGAGACGGCGATCAGGTTAGCGCCAGTGAGGCTGTCTTCTGGAGAGGGCTTGGGGGGCCAGTCCAGCCGAATGAGGCACATGTCATTCTCCAAAGGCTGCTTCTTGAGTTTCGGGTTGTGGTTTGGCTTTTGCTTGAGCCCAGGGCAATACGGTGTGTTGTCGCTCTGTGTGTGTGACTCTGACGTCGCTGGGCCAGATCCGGGCCTCCCTGGGCCCTCTCTCCACCTCCATGCCTTCTTGCTGTCCCCCTGGCGGGAAGCAGGGGAGGCCAATGCAGCCTTCGTTTGCTTGTGGCTTGTCTGCTTGGAGTGGAAGCTTTTGGTGAACCTTGGGCCGCCTGTCCTTTGCCTTTGCATGTGAGCAGGAGGGCTCTGGGCAGCATGGGGCCGTATGGCCTTTGTCAGGGGTTCTCCGTCTCTCTGGCTGGCTCTGAGATATCCCAGGTGACTCTGTGTCCTGGTCTGGCCTGCTCCTCTCTCCAAACTGTGGGGTTGCTTCTGTGGTAAAAGGGCGAGCTGAGCCGGCGCACCCACCAGGCCGCCCAGGGCAGGGAAGATCCAGCCCGTCTGTGTCCCCCTGCATGTCTCCCACCTCACGCTTCCTGCTAACGCCGCCTGCTTCTTAGAGGACCTGCACCTTTCCTGGCACTGGCCGGCCCCAGTCACGCTCATCATCCTGTGAGATGCCGGCTCCCTTCCCAGTTCACCCCTCCCCTCCATCCTAGCCGAGCCCCTCAGTTACCTTGATTGCTTCCTTTCCGGTTCAGGTGGTCCCCAAAAAGAAAGAACGTAAGGTGGCTTCCGATGATGACATCTCCGAGCAGGACGGGGAGGTGAACCGGTTCTCGGACGACGAGGTCGGCTCCATGAACATCACCGATGAGATGAAGCGCATGTTTAACCAGCTGTGAGTATCCCCGTGGCCCGCACACTCTCTGTTTCCCCGGATTGCTTGGGCAGGGGCGGTGAACGGGAGGCTTGGGCTGAGAGTAGCCTGCAGCACTGGAAGAATTTGGATTCATTTCCTTTTTTTTTTTTTGAGACAGGGTCTCACTTTGTCACCCAGGCTGGAGGCTGGAGGGCGGCGGCATGATCACAGCTCACTGCAGCCTCAACCTCTTGGGTTTAGGGATCCTTTCATCTCAGCCTCCCAAATAGTTGGGACCACAGGCATGTGCCACCATGCCCAGCTAATTTTAAAATTTTTTTGTAGAGACAGGGTCTTACCGTGTTGCCCAGGCTGATCTCAAATTCCTGAGCTCAAGCGATGCTCCCGCCTCGGCCTCCCAAAGTGCTGGGCTTACAGGGGTAAACCACTGCACCCAGCCAAGATTCATTTCAACATTTGTAATTTGGGAAATTTCATATGTTCAGCCTCTCTTGGAAGCTTGAAGAGGTCAGGCAGTGCTGAACCTGGGGCACAGTTTAACAGGGCTGGATGGCAGCTGCTGAATCTGGACAGGGGTATACTCTTCCATTCACCAGCATCCTTTATGTTCCCTGTCTGCCATTCTCCTGCCTTGCCTTTGAAAGCTTCCTCCAAAAAAGCGGTGGGAGAAGGGGTGTTCTTGCCCATGAGATACAGGGGCTGGGCTGTCCCCTCCCTGGTCATGTGTAAACATGTCTGTGTCTAAGGATATCATGAACCCAGAAGGGGCAATGGCAGATGTGGTCTTATTTGTAGGCTATTTTTCTTTTCTTTTCTTTCTTTCTTTCTTTCTTTCTTTCTTTCTTTCTTTCTTTTTTTTTTTTGAGACAGAGTCTCATTGTGTCACCCAGCAGACTGGAGTATAGTGGCAAGATCTTGGCTCACTGCAGCTTCTGCCTCCTGGGTTCCAGTGTTTCTCTTACCTCAACCTCCCAAGTAGCTGGGATCACAGGCATGCACCATGATGCCTGGCTAATTTTTGCATTTTTAGTAGAGGCAGGGTTTCACCATGTTGGCCAGGCTGGTCTCGAACTCCTGACTCCAAGTGATCTGCCTACTTCAGCCTCCCGAAGTGCTGGGATTACAGGCAAGAGCTACCTCACCTAGCGTGTGGGCCATTCTTGAGCAAACCTTAGCCAGACCCTCCTGCACTAGTTTGCCCTTGGTGGGGTGGCTGTGTTGACCACACGGCTTGCAGAAATGGCTCCTGACATTCACTTGGAGGGGGCCCCACAAATGTCACTTTGCTGACTCCAGACGCCCAACCTAGGAGATGGGGTATCCCTCCCCTTTTGTAGACAGGGAAACTGAGACTCTGAGAGAAGGGATTTGGGCAACACTGCTCAGCTAGTATGTGGCTGAGCTGGGATTCAGAGCCAGGCCGCCTCCCACACTAGTGCACTCTCAGTAGGAAATGCTGCTGGGGTGGTGGCAGGGTCTGGGCTGGATATGGTCAGTGGTGGGCAAACCTGCTGGTGCCAGCTCTTAGAAGCTGCTATACCCACTCCAGGCTCAGTGATGTCACGTTAGTACCTTAAAATTTGCCATTGCAGGAAATCGGCAAATGCTACCAATCAGAGCTCTGGGAGGCTCTGCCGCCTCCCGAACCCCCCCAGAGAGGGCATGTTCCTTCTAGCAGATGCCTTTGGCATCACTTGTTTCAAAAGCCAGGGGCATGGGTTCTCCTAACCTTCCTGCAGAACGCTGAGGCTGGCTCAGAATTCCATAGTCCGGAGCTCACTCCGCCCGGCCCCTCAGAGGGGCACACATGGAGTTAGGACAGAGCCAGGCCCCCAACTCTTGGTCCAGTGCTTTGTCCCCCATGCCATGCTCGGAAGAGAATTCTCTCTTCTGTCCCTATTCTAGGCTGACTTTTAAGGTAGACAGGAGGCAGGGGCAGGGTTGGAACTGGGTGGAGACAGGAACTCTTTTGCCTGATACTTCCTGGACCTGCCATTCCTTTGAAACAGAACTGAGATGGGAGCTGTATTTTGGGGGTTTGCTATTTAAGGGTGATAAGGAGACCCCTAGATTCTTGATTCCTCTTTTGATACCCCCCATCTCATTTCTCATCTTTTGCTGCCTGCCAAGAGGGGCTTTTTTTTTTTTTTTTTCCCCCGAAACAGAGCCTTGCTGTGTCACCTAGGCTGGAGTGTGGTGGTGCGATCTCAGCTCACTGCAGCTTCCCCCTCCTGGGTTCAAGCAATTCTCCTGCCTCAGTCTCCGAAGTAGCTGAGACTATAGGCACACACCAACACACTCAGCTAATTTTTTTTTTTTTTTTTGTACTTTTTTAGTAGAGATGGGGGTTTTACCATATTGCCCAGGCTAGTCTCAAACTCCTGGCCTCAAGTGATCCGCCCACCTTGACCTCCCAAAGTCCTGGAATTACAGGCATGAGCCATTGCACCCGGCCAATAGGGGCTTTTGGAAAGAACCAGTGGTTGGATCTAGGTTGTTTGAAACATTGCCCTGGGCATTTCTGAGCCTAAGACAGGATTGTATGCCCCAGAGACCCCAGGCTGGGTCCACGTGGTTAAATTAAAGGGCTTCTCTGAAGAAATTATTGTCCCTGCTTTTATAAAGTCCCCAGGGCATTGTTAAGCTGACCAGGAATGGGGTGAGCTACAAAAGGAGATAGATCAGAGTGGAAGCCAGGAGGCCCCATGGGCAAAGGCTCCGGTGTGTGGCAACAGCATTCAGATCCAAGTCAGGCGAGACTGGCTGCCGGAACGGGCGCCTCAGTGTTGATAGAGCTGAATTGGGTTCACTATGGAATTAGATTTAGCTGGTTGTGAAGTTACCTAAGTTAAAACAAACAATGAACCCTCTGATCACTTTGATCACCCCCCACCCCCGTTCTGCAGTTCTATGTAGGTCACCCTGACCCCACCGCAGGCGGGGCCCTGGGCCTTTCCCGTGGACATCTCCACCAGCTGTGGGCAGGACCTAGCCAGGCTGCCCCTGGCCAGATCTGATGAAGTGTTTGAGTAATGCAGCCATGTTTTGTTTTGATCCAAGTCGGTTGTTTGGGCTTCAGACCAAGAAGAAGAGGGGGAATGTGCAGCTGTCCCCCGGCAGGGCCAAGGCTCCTCCTCAGCCCCACCTTGCAGATTTGTGAAGTGGGGGTCTCTTCCGAGTTCCTTCTCTTGCCCGTCTTTCTGTCCTTTCCAGCTTCCTGTCCCTTGGCTGGGGTTTCCTTCAGATCCCAGACGCTGGGAAGGAAGTGAAGTCAGGAATCGAGTATGTGATGCAGTGAGGGCTGGACCCTGGCGGCTCCTGGCCATACGGCCCTCTCCAGCACCCGCCCCCCAGCTCAGGACCCTGGACTCGGGGAGCCACCTATGGACTCCTGTGGGAATGGCTTTTGGAGGGGAGCCAGCCCTGCCTGACTCCAGGGGGCGCTCGAGGCAGCTTTTTACCAGACAGCCTTCTTGGGACCTGCCCAGTCCATTGGGAACACTCCAACCCAGTCCATTGGGAACACTCATTGCCCCGGAGGATCCAGGAAGGAGCTGAGGGAGGGCGGGCAATGGGGAGAGCCCTGGGAGGGCAGCCTGGAGACAGGGTCCACACTGTCGTGTGCTACCGATGCACTGGGTCAAGTGATTTCACTCCTGCAGACTCAGCCTTCCCCTTGCAAAGAGGGGTATGTTGGATGAGCTGATCTTTAGGTCTCCTCCAGTTGGGGTAACCAATGCATTTTGGGAACCCCTTAGTCCCAGTCAAACCTGCATGGTTGGTCAACCTACTTCTGGTTCTGGCCAATAGGGAGGTCTTGACATCTCCCAGGCTTTGAATTCAAATCTCGTTTCCAGCATGTATTGTTCTAAAGGCCACTCAATCCCTCTGAGCCTCTGTTTTCTCACCTGTGAAATGGGAATGATAGTTATGCTTACCTCATGGGATTGTTTTGAGGTGGAATTGTTTTGAGGGCGTTGCATTTTACTGCATGCTTAGTGGCTGGTCCAGTGCCCAGCACCTAACGGGTGCTTGGGGAGTGTCTTGATGGGGAGGAAAAAGCTATAGGAAACATTTGGCATTCTAGCCTGTTTCTGCTACATGCTAGCTGTGTGACTTTAGACAGTTGAGTTATCCTTTCTGAGCCACCATTTCTTCATCTGTAAAATAGGAATAATACCAACCTTCCCAAATTGCAGAGAAGATGGTATTATATTGAGCATCTCACTCAAACTAGGGGCTCAAGAAATAGCTGTTAAATGAATGAGGAAAATTGCAAGATTGGACTTGGAGGAAAATATCTTTAGTCCCAATTCATTAAAGCCTGACATTAAAAAAAATACACATTTTTAATTATACAAACGATACATAAATACATTCTGCATTTTAAAAGAGTTAAACTCCTTTTGGATATGGCGAATGTCGCCTTTGGCTGCTACCCCTGTCTTTTCTGAGGACAGCCTTGAAGGTGTGTACCTATTGGGCAGCTGCCCCTTTCTGTCCCCTGTGTGGGTCCCTGGAGCCTGGCTTCTGTTCAGTCATGCCCTCTGGTGTCACCCCCACAGGCGGGAGACCTTTGACTTTGACGACGACTGTGACAGCCTGACGTGGGAAGAGAATGAAGACACGCTGCTGCTCTGGGAGGATTTCACCAACTGCAATCCCACCATCGACCTGCAGGGCGAGGTGAGCCCGGCGCCTGGCTTCCCAAAGGCCAGGACTAGGGACCTGGGGGGCACCTCCTTTCAATGGTCCCTCATCCCTGTTATTTTCCTACAGCCCCCACCACCCAGCTAAACTATCCCCTTTGGGCCGGGCGCAGTGGCTCACGCCTGTAATCCCAGCACTTTGGGAGGCCGAGGTGGGCGGATCACCTGAGGTCGGGAGTTCGAGACCAGCCTGGCCAACGTGGCGACACCCCACCTCTACTAAAAATATAAAAATTAGCCAGGCCTGGTGGTGTGCACCTGTAATCCCAGCTACTCGGGAGGCTGAGGAAGGAGAATCACTTGAATTCAGGAAGCAGAGGTTGTAGTGAGCTGAGATTGTACTCTGCGCTCCAGCCTGGGTGACAGAGCGAGACTCCGTCTCAAAAATAAATCAATAAATAAAATAAACTGTCCCCTTTGTTCTATTTCCCCAGCAAGAGGAAAACTTGGGCAACTTGATCCACGAGACCGAATCCTTCTTCAAGACGAGAGACAAGGAGTACCAGGAAACGATAGGTCAGATCGAGGTGAGAGCTCGGGACGTGGAGTCCACTTGTGAGGCTCTCCTGAGGTCCACGTGGTTGAGATCCTGGCGACCAAATGCCCATGTGTCATGGGCAGGGGCTGGGAGAGTGGGACAGGCATAGGATTGGGAGTCAGGAGGCCTCAGGGGCGACTAACATATTTCTTAGGGCCTCAGTTTCCTAATCTGTCAAATGGGGGTGGTGATCCTTGCCTGCCTCAGAGAATTAAAAAGAATATATGTAGCTGAGAAGACGATCCCATAATAACCACAGAGCTGACATTGGAGTGATAGTGAGTGACGCAAGGTGCTAAGTACACCCGGTATCCTTACCTCTACCCTATGCAGTAGGCACCATGCACTCCTTTTACAGAGGAGGAGATGAGGTTGGAAGAGAGCAAGCGACTTGCCCAAGGCCTTGCAGCCAGGAAGCAGCATTGAAGTACAATTCTTTCTGGCTCCAGAGGCTGTGCACATGATCACTTCTATAAATGACAGTCATTACTATTGTGCAGGAGAAAGGGAAGCCCAGCTCCTTCCCTAGAGGAAGTATCACTTGATAGAGGACAAGAGTCAGAAACATGAAAAAGCCTTCAGGATTTTTGTAATCAGGTCTGGATAAAGGAACCCAGAGATGCCGAGTTCTCAGAACCGGGTGGGGCACATCAGAGCCGGGCTCCTGCTGGGGTTGCTAAGCAACCATTCCCCTTTGGCCACAAGGAGTTCTAGGGGATGTGGAACCATGTGCAGAGAGCAGAGGGTGGGGGAGATTGATGTCCAGAGGCCGAGTCCTGATGGTGTGGTGTCCAGTGGTGGACTCGATGGCACCATCCCTGAGGAATCCAGGAGGGGAGGTTGCTGAGGCTTCTGCCACGAGGATGACTTGCCCTCACCCTTCTTCCTCATTGGTTCCTCCCAGCTGGAGCTGGCCACAGCCAAGAGTGACATGAACCGACACCTGCATGAGTACATGGAGATGTGCAGCATGAAGCGAGGACTGGACGTGCAGATGGAGACCTGCCGCCGGCTCATCAAAGGCTCCGCAGACAGGTATCTGCCTGTCCTCCCAGGGGATTCAGCTATGGCATCCTTGGAGGGAAATTGCCAAGGCTGCAACTTGGCCATGTTTCATACTGCCAACCTATCTCTCTGTCTGTCTGTCCGTCCGTTCATCCATCCATCCATACATACATCCAGTGACTATTAGCACACCTATGTGCCAGATGCCTTACATATCTAACCTCGTGCAAATCCCACCACCACCCTGCCCCTTGTTGATTCAATAGATACTTGTCAAAGGCCTGCTCTGTGCAAGATGGTGGGGCCGGTGAGTACAGCCCTTGCCCTCGAGGAGCCGAAGCCCCATTTTCTGCTGAGCTGGGAGCAGAGGAGGTGGACGGGGCATTCTCCCGTTTGCTCACAGGAAGTGATTTCCCTTCCTTTGCCATCTGTTAGTCTGTTCTCATGGTGCTCTAAAGAACTGCCTGAGGCTCAGCGTGGTGGCTCACACCTGTAATCCCAGCACTTTGGGAGGCTGAGGTGGGAGGATCACTTGAGCCCAGGAGTTCAAGGCTAGCTTGGGCAACATGGTGAAACCTCATCCCTACAAAAAAAAAAAAAAGCCTGAGACTGGGTAATTTATAAAGGAAAAAGGTTTAATTGACTCACTGTTCCACATGGCTGGGGAGGCCTCAGGAAACTTATAATCATGGCGGAAGGCACCTCTTCACAGGGCAGCAGGGGAGAGAATGAGTGCCTAGCAAAGGGGAAACCCCCTTATAAAACCGTCAGATCTCATGAGAACTAACTCACTATCACGAGAACAGGATGGGGGAAACCGCCCCCGTGATTCAATTATCTCTAACTGGTCCCTCTCATGACACGTGGGGATTATGGGAAGTACAATTCCAGATGAGATCTGGGTGGGAACACAGCCAAACCATATCATCTTCTTCCAACCCAGGTCCTGTCCCCAGGAGACTGACATGTGTCAGGCATGGCACACAAAGCAGAGCCCCTGCCTTCAAGGACACACAGCCTTGTTGGGGGACAGCCATGCTGAGAATAAGCTAATATGCAGAGAATGCCTGCCACACAGCACAAATACATTGTCGTTGCTTTCCTCGTTTTGCTGCATTACTGTATGAGAGGGAGGGACAGCCCTGTGGGGAGCAGATCTGTGTGCAGGGCCGTGGCCTTGCCTTTCAGACCTTTAACTCCTTAAACCCGCAGAACCCACTGTGGTTATCTCCATTATTCAGACAGAAGAGCAGACACTTAGGCAGGTTAAACAGTTTGCCTAAGCTCCGCCACCCCCAGCTCATCTGAGATAGAATCAGAACTGCAGCCCAGTGATGTTAACCGTATCCTGCATGGCCTCCTTTTGAGTGCTGAGTCATCCAGGGTTTACTGAGCACCTACTATGTGCCCAGACCTGGGTTAAGTGCTTGGAGGGTAACAGTCAAACTTGATCCATGGTCCAGCTCCCAAGGGGTTTTCTTCCTAGAGAAGTCAACACAGCCAGACCAAGTAGGGGGCGGTGCAGGGGGTTACCTCGTGAGCTTAAAGGATCTTAAGGATAGCTGAGTGAGGCAGGAGCTCAGGGCGAGGCTCCTCTAAGGGTAGATCTTATAGAAGTGGCAGCTCAGCCTTCCTACTCCTTGACCCTTGAGAGGCCCAGGGCTGCTCTCTGAATTTCCCCACTCTCTTGTGCTTCTCAGGAATTCACCGTCCCCCAGCTCCGTGGCCAGCAGCGACTCAGGAAGTACAGATGAGATCCAGGATGAGTTCGAGCGGGAGGCAGATGTGGAGCCCATGGTCAGCTGATGACTGACGCCCTGCCAGCCTGGTGGTCTTGGTGATGGGGCCCTGCCACCTCTCCTCATGGGGCCAGGAAGGCCCCTTGGAGTGGGGTTCGAAGCCGCACCACACAGACTTTCTCTGCCCTCCCTTCTCTGGAGGCCCCGAGGGACTGCTGCTTCCTTCCTTCCTTCCACACCGCCAGCGGGTGCCCCGTCTCCATCCCCCACCCACCCAAGGAATGGTGCTGTCAATTTCTATTGTTCTCCACATTACAAATGCAGACTTCTGTGCGGACTTTGCAGTGTTAACTGTGCCTTCTCCCTTAAGCTGAGCCACTTTGAGCTCCAAAGAATTATTCCTAGCAGGTGTTTTTATACAGAACTTTAAGGTGAGGGCCGGGCCGGCTGGCCGTGGCGTAATGTGGTTTCTGCCGTCCGTCCCACCTGTTCCTCTGATTGGCCATGGGCTACGCCCTCCCTTCCTCCTGAGCCAGCCCAGACCGGCCTGGGGCTTGGGGTGCTCTGCCAACCCCCAGGAAGGAGCCGCTGGCCTCTGTGAGCTTTCTAGGCCTGGGTAGGGACCACCCCAATTTTCTCACTCCCTGAAGGAGAGAAAGGTGGAAGGAAGGGAAGGAAGACACATTTTAATTTTTTGGGGGGATCGAGTGGCAAAGTTGAAGGGACAAGGCACTGTGAGGGGAAGGCGGAGCCTCACTGTGTTTAAACTACTATGCAAAAAACAAAACAAACAACAAAAGCAGCTTGCCTTATATCATTGTGGAAGGCAGGACCTCTCCTGGGCTCCTGGCTTCCCCCTGGAGCTGGGAGGGAGGCCGGGGTTAGGGTGATGTGTGTCGCAGCACTGACTGGGTAGCGTGGGTTTGGCTGAGGTTGGTCAGGAGGCCGGGGTTGCCGCAAGGCACTGGCCTGCCTGACCGCTTGCTGTCTTCCGGGCCTCTGCGGGTTCAGGGCAGGGGCCAAGGGGGTCTTTTTGCCCTGATAACTTGATGTTCTTCCCTCTGTCGCCAGTCAACAATAGAGGGTTAGAGATCTGTAATTTCTCTGTGAGAAAGTCTGAAGGGGCCAGGCCCGGTCTCTGCTCCCTTCCACCCGCCTTGGGTTAGGACTGTCCGGCAGTTGCCGGCTTTTGGCCACTGGCAGGAGAGAGGTCTGGTGGGCTGCTGGCAGGGCAGGAGCTGGAGTGAGGGCCATCCTCTTTCTGCTCCTGGACACACGCAAGCCTCTCTCAGCAATTCCCTTGACTGGCCAGTCAGGGTGTTGATCTGAGCCAGTATCCCCCAAGACTTGAATGGCTTGAGTGGGCCTGCATTGAAGGGCACTGTGTGGCGACCCTCCCCCTTCCAAATCTCAGCTTGGAGCCAGCTGAGCAGGCTTTGCTTTATTATTATTTTTTAACAGTTTTTAACCTACTGCAGTGGGTCTGTTGCCAATTTTAATTTTTTGTTGTCCCAGGAGCTCCCTCTAGTGGTCAAAGTAGCAAAATGTGCCCAAGGACTAGAACTTGGGTCCCTCTGCCTTGTCTGGAGGCAGAGGAGGGGGCTCTGGGTTTGACTGGGATTGTGGTCCCCAGAGGTCCATGGCCTTTAAGGGTCTTCTCTGTTTTCTGTTTCCCCCACCTGTGTTACAGTCTTGAAAATACTGTACATAATAGATACACGTAGAGAGAGAGAGCGTGAGAATGTGTTAGTGACTACTACGTGTGATGTAATTTATCACGATTTGGTGGCCTTTGTCATGAGTTTTTTCCTTTGTTTTATTTTGCTGGGGGCACCTCCCACAGGTCCCCTGCGGCAGTCTGGCTGTGACTCTTCCATAGTCAGCATCTCTTGTTAGCCAAACAGTTCCCTTTGGCAGGTACTTGGAGGGACAATGGTTTTGGAAGAGAGACGGCCCTTCTCTCTCCTCCTCACTGACCCTTGTTCTAAAGGTTACAGGGTTCAAACATACCTGATTCTTGTTGTTATTGTTGTTGCATTTTTATTTTAACCAAAGGTTATCAGAGCCAGTTGGGCTTGAACCTCAGCTGCTAAAAAGATTTTCCGTTTCCACGAGGGCAGGAAAACATCCACCCTCGTGGGTCTCCTCCGTCCAGGGCTAAGGGAGGCGTTGGACAATGTGGTGTGGGAGTTTCGTGGGCAGCGTGGAAGCCAGCCCTGGGTTGTTCCCCAAGGTGGTGGGAGGGTGACAGACATATCTTTAGAGTTAAGACTGTAAGGCAGCAGTGTTAGCGTTGGAGGGTAACAGGTTACTGTGGTGATCGGTGTCCGGCGGTATTATTTTTACTTTCCTCGTTGTATACATAGGTCATTTGTCTTTGAGAACTAGGGTACTCTAGGGAGTTTGAAAATGGCAGGAGCCAGAAAGAGATCCTGGCCTGAAAGTCCCTTCCTGCTGGCTTTTAATATCTGCTCTCCTCTTGGGAGTGAGGACTTGGGGCAGGTGGGTGGGAGAGGGTAAGCCAGAGTGTGATGGGCCTGCCTCCTGGGCTGGTTCCGGGGTCCGGCCTGCCTGACTGCCTGCCTCTCCACCACATGCTCTTTTCAGTTAATGTCAGTGGGCTGTGCTTGTCCCCTCACCATGAGCCCACAGCTTGCCAAGAAAGACCCCAAAGCTCGCTGGGGCAGCACCAGTCCTAGCTGGGATGAATTGGTCCATCCTTTGTAAAGCTGTAAATACTTAGGTTTGACTTTCTATTTCTAAGCCCGGTGTCATATTGACACTGGTATTTTAGAATTGTTCTCAGATGGGCTCTCCTGCGCTGCCCTCTGTCTCCTATTTTTGGGGGTTTTATACAAACAGAGGATTGGGGAGGGATAGGAAGACTAGCATCCATTTGGCTCCCTGGTTGGTTGTGAAATACACACACACACACACACACACACACACACACTCCTCTGAGACTCCAAACAGAGAAAAAAATTATTGGCAAGCCAACATTTTCTTTCTTATCTTGAGAAAATGTCTTGAGGTCCCTGAAGGACCAAATCCATCATGGACTAACTCTGTGGGTAGAACTCAGATGACCTAGGGAGAATTCAACCACTTACGCTTGGAATGGGAGGAGAGGGGGTGGGGTGGGGGAAGATTATAAGATGTAACTTAAGCTAAATGTAATCTATTTATAAAGCAAGAGACTCTCATCTATTTTTATGAAAGGAAGGGTTTTTTAATCTAGGGTAGGCAGTTGTGGTAGCCCAGCATTCTCCTCTGGACGAGAAATGGTGCATGTTGTTGCCGGATTGAATAGAACCCATTCCCCTCCCCATGCCTCGTCTTCTGTCCTCACTTTTGGTCATTAACACCCATGAGCAGCTTCAGCAGACTGTAGGTCCCACTTCACCCCATTCTCCTCTCCTCTGACCCCTCAGTTTCTTAGAAGTCTTGGGGTAGGTTGCAGGAAATTCAGAAGTGTGGTGGGTGGGGGAAGGGCCAAGGCACACTAGGGAGGGGACAAGCTGGACTCTGGGGGTAGGCTCTGATTAGTTATTCTGACTCTGGTCTGCCGAGATCCATTTCCAACTCAGCTGCGCTGGGAGCGGGTTGGGAGGCAGCAGAGCATGGGTGGCAGTGGGAGTGCATGACTTCCTTGGAGCCTGGGCCTTCGTGGGTCCCAGGTGGTCAGGCAGCTGGAGTAGGAGTGGAAATGGCATAAGATGCTCATAGCCCAGCCCTGGCTGTGCCTACTCCAGGCCAAGCCTGGGCTGCAGTCCTTGCTGTGTTCCCCCCAGGGTCCTGGGGGAGGGATCAGGGTGCTGGGGGTTTCCTAGGACAGGGGTCTTCCCCCTTGAGACACCAAGCTCTGGCTCTGGAAGAGCTCTCTCCTGAAGTGGGGAGTCTGGAGGGGGCTGGGTGGGTGCAGGTAAAGCCAGATTCTCTCTGGAAGGGAATTTTCTATGAATGGATGATTTCCAGGCTCAGGGTGGGCTGTGTGTTAGTTCTGGGCAAATCCCTCACAAAGACCCCTCCCTCCCAAGCCCTCAAAGAAACGAGGCAAAGCCCTTCCCTGCAAGACCCCTTGTGGACGTTTCTGCATCTACCTGATTTTTAGCCCCATCCAGGGAGACTTTATACCCCACGATTCCATCCTGCCCCACCGTTGCTGTTGTCTGCCAGCTGGGTCTAGCATCACAGGGAAGGGGGGTTTATACTCACGGAAAGACTACTGATCCTACCGGAAACCAACCTGTTTACTGTACTGTTGTAAATATCATGCCCTTTATATCCTGTATATTGGCTTCTTTTAAATAAAGTGAAGTGTCTTAGAACTGATGGTGCTTTTTTTTTGTTTTTGTTTTTAAATAGAAGATGAATCTGCTGTTGGGGGAGGGGTAAGAGGACTGAGGGTCACAGAAACACTCAAACTCATTAGCTAATTAGCCATAAAATAGGGGATGTCATATCACCTGTTACATTTGTAGCTCACAATAAAAGCTTTGGAAGATGATAAAGCAGGAATCATTACACACATTTTACTGAAGGGGAAGAGAGGACCCGAGACATCACAGGCTCAGTAACTGGCTTGGCCTGGTTTGGAACTGATGGCCTTTTAACCACAAAGTCCCCATTTCTCCAGGCTCTCCAACGTGCCCACAGGAGGTCACCTCCCCAGGCTCTGCATTTGACACTATCCAGCGTTCTAGTTTTTCTTGTTAATGGGCACGTACAGGGCAACATTGCCCTAATGTGAACTGAGCCCACCTGTCTAGGGTCTTCTCCAAAGATGAAGACAAATAGCCGCCACCAATTCCAAGTTGCTTTTTGCCATTCCTAATACTTGGCACTTTTCCCTCCCCAACTCTTCATTTAAATGTTTAAATTCTCCCAAAGTATCTTAAATGGTGTAATCCGGAGAAAAAGAAGTGACCTAAGATCATGGGGGCATTGTGAGTTGGGTATTATTACCTCCGTTTTACAGATGAGGAAACTGAGGCCCAGAAAGGATCTGTAGTCTGCCTAGTGCCCCATGGAGGAACCAGAATCAGCATCGGAACTGACTCCTAAGCAGGTGCCCGGTTCATGCTGCTGGAAGAAATATAAACAAATTAGAAGAGAGAGTAAGGAAACGTAACATTACTTTAGGAATAGATTGGGTCCCTGAGACCTCGTCATCAGAGAAGACTTCAGAATCCAAGTTTTAAATAGCATTCGAGTGTTTACCAAGTACACAACATTTTGCAAAGCTGACATTTTTACTTGGGGGTAAAAGGCTCAGGAACAACTGGTTTTGCGGCCAAAGGCTTTAAAATGAAAAGCTAAGCGTTGGCCAGCTCAGGTTTTATCTTGCATTGATCGTAATCTGCAAGAAAGCTAAGAAGCTGGCCAGCGCCGGGCCTGGCGGATAGGTGGAGGGCGGCTGGGTCCTGGCCAATGAGGCTGGAAGGCAGGCTCATTCCACGGGCAGTGCCCGGGAAGCAGCAGGGGGCTGGCCGCGCTGTGGCCCTGCGGGGTCGAGGAGTCTGGTAACGGACAGGTTTCCGGCCTCGCACAAACCACTGGCGGCCTGAAAGAAGCCAGTCCGACGCCCACCGGACTCCGGGCGCACACCAGAGGGCGGGGCGCAGCGAGTCCTTCCGCCCCGCTTCAGCACGTGTCCCATTCCGGTTATCTCATTGGCTCTATTCAGCCCCTCTCTGCTCCACTTTGGAAGGCTGCAACAGGACCGCACCGTTGATTGGTTCAGAAGCTTTGGTGTGTCACTCTGACTGGTCGGAGGGGTTCACGCCCTCTCGGGTCATACCATAACGAGAGGAGGGGAAAACGCATGCATTTCAGGACTTCGCTTTCGGGTTCCCTTGCCCTGTGTTGTGTTATGCCCCTATTATGGCATGAACAGATGCTTTTTATTAGCCGAAGCTAAATATAGTGGAACTTCGGCTGATCCCGAGCTCGGAGGACAGCCGGCGTGATCCGTTTCCCCCCGCGGATCGAGGTGGTGCGCTCGGGACGGGCTGTGCATTCTAGCCGCGCCTGGGCGGACCAGCCAGCGAACAACCCCGCTGCGACCCAGAGATGCTGCTGCCGGCGTCCGCGCTCCGCCGCGCCCTCCTGTCGCGTCCCTGGACCGGGGCCGGGTGAGTGAGCACGGGGCCCGGGGCGGCCCGAGCGGGCGCCTGGGGCCCGGGAGCCTGGGAGTCACTGGGCGTCCCCAGCGCCGCACTCCCTCCCTGCCGGACCGCCAAGCTGCTTGGGTCACCGCTGGGTTCCTCAGGGGCTCCCCTCCGACCCCCACACAGGCCTTTTTCCCACTGAGATCCCTTAGCCTCCTCCCTCAGGTAGTCATCTTACTTTAGCGAGGGGACCCCTCTTCCCGAATCCTGCGACCGAGTAGGGTGCCTCGGGGGGCCCTGCCGGTTCCCACGCTCGGAAAGTAACCTCTGTAGTCACTCGTCTCACTCCTAATACTGTATCTTCGCAATTTGCGAGCTTCCCCCGAGGGGCACGTCTGTTTTTTAGCACACCACACATCTCACTTCCCCACCCTCGTCCCACGTTCAGTGCCCCCATCCCGCCCCGGATTCCCCGAGTCCTCCTCTCCTTCTACCAGGATTTCTGCCTCTCTCTTTTCCGCTCCCCTCCGCACTCCGCCGCCCGCTTTTTTTTTCAAGTTAAATGTTGGATAGAAAAGAGGGACTCCTTTTTTCTTGTAGGACTCCTTTTTTCTTGTAATCATATTTATGGAGTGCTTATAATGAACCAAATGCTGGCCAGGCACTTGGCAGGTGTCTTACCATGAGGATTAAGTGGTTATTACACGGGGAGTACCCTGAACAGTGCCCGGCCCAAAGGCAGCGCCCGGTTGTGATTATCGCCATGATCATCATCATCACCTCTTTTTAAACTTCTCACTCCTGTGAGGCAGGTATTATTCCAAATAATGAAGAAAACCAGGAGCAGTTCAGGGGTGGAGCTGCCCTTCAAATCCAGATTTGCAAACCCTGCCATTGTGGAGCCAGGTGGCTGGATCCTTGCCCACTCAGTGACAAATATTCTCAGAGAGCCCCTCCAGCTCGGGGCTAGGTTTGGAGAGGTGGGTGGGACACAGACCCTGCCCCGGAGGGGATCCTAGTCTGGTGGGGCTGCGCACCTGTGGGTCAGCTCCTCCTTCCATTTGAGTTTTGTTTGCTTGACCTCCCGGGCTGTTAGCGGCTGTCTCTCTCCTGATGAGCTGTGCCCTTTCTGAGTTAATCAGTGGCCCTCTCCCTTCCCCCAAGGGATGGCATGGTGGTGCCCTGAACACAAGTGAGTTTCAACCCTGCTGTGTGTCCTCTGTGGGTGAGGAGGGGATAGGAAAGGGTGCAGGAAGAAGACATGGGACAGAAGAGTTCCTCTTCTAGGCTGAGACTGGGGCCACACTTGCCATACTCCCTGTGCGATGCCATTTGCAGGCCTTGCCTGCACTCTGAGGCCCAGGAAGATGGGGCTGATAGAGTCTGGTGTTATACCGAGTGCCTACTGTGAGCTGATGCTCTACCAAACACCCTAGAGGTGAGGAGTACCCAGGGAATTTACATGGGGTGGGGCCTTTGAGGAGTTTTCAGCTTAATAGGGGAGAAATACATAGAAAAAACCTCCGATATCTAGTAGAAAGCAATCCATATTCTAAAAGATAAGCCCATGATAACAATAATAATTATCAAGCAATCAAGCACCACGGGCTTAACACCGAACCGATAAATACCGTCTCATTCCTGTATTATCATGGGACATGATCTGCCATTCAGAGATATATGACTGAAATTACAGTTGGTCTAAATCCAGATTTATGCTCTGAATTATGAGGCCTCCTGAATTGAGAGGGGAAAGAGAAAGAGCGTTTCGCAACCGGTTCCCTGGGCTCAGGTTACTCCTTTGATGCAGCAACTGGCCGCATGCCCTAGACAGGATTTCTCAACCTCACCACGATTCACATTTGGGGCTACATTTTTGTTGTTGTGGAGTCTGTCCTGTGCACTGTAGAATGTTTAGCAGTGTCCTTGGCCTTTACCTACTCCATGTCAGGGGCACCCCCGGCCCTGACAGTTACAAAAGAAGTCCTGGCCCTAACAGGAAACACAAGTTCCCAGACATTGCCAGATGTTCCCTGGGGGACAAAAATCACCTCTGGTTGAGAGCCACCGCTCTAGAGGAACAGCTTTGGTATTTGATCACTTGTTCATGTACTCAACGAACATTTAGGGCACACCTGTGGCGTGCCGTATCTGCATTTATGGGGAAACAGATGCAGGGCGTTTTCAGTGACATCCCTCGGTGTCCTATGTGTAAAACTCTAGTCCTGAGAAAAATCACTGCTTTTGAGGAACGGGTACGGGAGATGTTTCTTAGTGTTTTCTTTTTTTGCCTTGAGTGCCAGGAATCTCTGCCAGTTTTAAAAAATACCCTTGATACATGTTTTCTTTTAGTTTAATACATGTCAATTGTGAAAACTACAGATAGGGCAAAAAAAAAAAAATCACCTGGAATTGTACCACACAGAGGTACCCACTGTTGACATTTTGATTCATGTCCTTTAACTTTCCATGAATATATATGCTTTAAAAAAAAAACCTCATAGAAACAAGTTCATCTGCCAGTAATTTATTGTAGCTTGTTTTTTCCCTTTATACACTTGTCTGCCTTACAGTATATTCCCAGGCCCTGGAACTGTGTCTGGCACCTGGTAAGCCCTTGGCAAACATTTAGGGAATGAATGAACTTGTCATGTGAGCCCTTGCTTGTCAACCAATATTTATCACAGCCAGCCTCAGGACAATCACCATAAACGTGTGGCCTTTATAGGTGGGCCCAGGGATGGCGGCTGATGACAACGACTGCCATTTACTTTTCATGTGGATCATTTTACTCAGCCTCTCAGCAGCCTGTGATGTAGGGGTTACCACCCCCATTTCACAGATGAAACAACTGAGGCCCATGGAAATTAAGAAAAACTTGTCCAAGGCCTTGAGCTGGTGAACACCAGGCCTCCCAACTGACTGCCTCTTTTCTCTTTAACCCTGACTTCCTGTTCTTTTCTCAATCAGCTTTACCATTGGTGTCCTCAGTTCTCTTTGGAAACAGGCAGGATGCAGATTAATAGCCAGCCCAGGCATGTAGTAGGCTTATAAGAGTTCGTTTCTGTTCCTTACTTCTTGTGCCAAGCCCAGACATGACTCCTGCTCACCCCATCTGACATCAGGGAGCTTATGGGCCAGAATTGGCTACTACCGTGTCCCCTGCAGTGATCCTGGGTGATTTTGGACTCTTCTCAGGCTACCTGATGGTTTAATTTTCAAAATATCAAAAGCATCCAATGCTTTTCCCAGTCTGCCCAGCCCTTGGATGGGCACAGCTTGCCCTGGGTTGGTGGCTGGCATTTCCCACCATTCCTTAGACCTTCTCTGCTCTTGAACTCCCCCAACCAGTGGCTGGGGCGGTGCCTTTGGCCTGGAATGTGCCGCTGGCCACCTCGGTGAGCCCATCCAGTGCTTTGTGGCCTTGGCAAGGCAGCTTCTGTCCCTTCAGTATCCTCATCTGCAAAATGGGGATGTATTAACAGCCACATAGCAGGTGGCTGCAAGGATTAGCAGTGATGTGACCAGTGGTTTCCTGGGTGCCTGGTACCGAATGTGTGCTCTGTGAGTATTTGAGTGGAAGAATAATTAAAACGTGATTATCTTCACACTTCTAAAGTAGTGAAAGTGCCATTGAGGCAGTGCTTGGCAGTGGCACCCCGGGAGCAGCCTGCCTCCTGTGCCCCGCATCTGGCCCAGCACACAGTAGGCGTTGAACAGTTGCTGTTGAGATGGCCGAGAACACGGCATGCCTTGGATCCTGGCTCCAACTCTTGACGGCTCTGTGGCCCCGGGCAGGTTACTCACCCTCTCTGGGCTCCTTTATGTTCTTATATGTAAAATAAAGATGACAGTAGTAGTCACCTCATAGGATTGTCCTGTGGGTTAAATGGTCTCACACATGAAAAGCACTTTGGAGTGCCCAGCACCTGGAACACTCAGTAAGTGCTGCTGCGGTTATGATGATCCCCTCTCCTACCAATGGGCTTCCTGGAGTGATCATCTTCGATCAGGAATATCAAGACGGCAGGGTCCCAGCAGTGAAGGATGGTGGCAGGAGGGAAGGTATGGAACTCAGATGTCCTCGGTCTCTTCCCTTTGTTCCAATTAACTACCCCAGATGCCAAACCCCTTCTGTTATTATTATTGTTGTTGTTTTGGAGACAGGGTCTCACTCTGTTGCCCAGACTGGAGTACAGTGTCACTATCTCAGCTCACGGCAGCCTCAACCTCCTGGGCTCAGTCATCCTCCCACCGTAGCCTCCCAAGTAGCTGGAACTACAGGCACGCATCACCATGCCCAGCTACTTTTTGTATTTTTTTGTAGAGATGGGGTTTCACCATGTTGGCCAGGATGGTCTCAACCTCCTGGTCTGAAGTGATCCTCCTGCCTCGGCCTCCCAGAGTGCTGGGATTATGGGCATGAGCCACTGCGCCTGACCTTCTATTAGGGTTTTGACCCTGCTCACCTTAGGGGATGGAAGAGACTTCTCCGCTTCTTTTTTTTCTTTCTTTCTTTTTTTGAGACAGAGTCTCTCTCTGTCGCCCAGGCTGGAGTGCAGTGGCCGGATCTCAGCTCACTGCAAGCCCCGCCTCCCGGGTTCACACCATTCTCCTGCCTCAGCCTCCCGAGTAGCTGGGACTACAGGCGCCCGCCACCTCGCCCGGCTAGTTTTTTATATTTTTTAGTAGAGACGGAGTTTCACCGTGTTAGCCAGAATGGTCTCGATCTCCTGACCTTGTGATCCGCCCGTCTCGGCCTCCCAAAGTGCTGGGATTACAGGCTTGAGCCACCGCACCCGGCCCTTCTCCGCTTCTTGCAGGCTCCTTAATCCCCAAACCTTCCCTCTCCTGACAGAGGTCACGGAGTGAAGAGGCCCTGGGCTGAGCTGCAGTGCCAGTGGACAGCTGAGTGACCTTGGGTAAGTCACTGCCCACCTTGGGGCGGCCACTTTCCTCAGGTGGAAATGAGGTTCTAGCTGTATGGTGAGGAGGATAAACGTGTCCCATCACCCCACCTGACCATGGGCCTCTGAGATGTTGCAGGTGCTTCAGCCATACTGTAAGTCTCTTGAGTAAGGAAGACCTGGGTTCAAATCCTGCTGTGTCACTCATGAGCTGTGACCTGAGCCAGGAGTGAGTAACTCGGAACCTCATCTGTAAACAGATCATTCTACGGTTTATTATCCCTCATCTGAAATGCTTGAGAACAGAGTGTTTTGTTTTTTGGGTTTTTATTTTTTTGAGACAGAGTCTCGAGCTATCGCCCAGGCTAGAGTATAATGGCAAGATCTTGGCTCACTGCAGCCTTCTCCTGGGCTCAAGCCATATTCCTACCTCAGCCTCCTAAGTAGCTGAGACTACAGGCACACGCCACCATGTCCAGCTAATTTTTGTATTTTTAGTAGAGGTGGGGTTTTGCCATGTTGGCCAGGCTGGTCTCGAATTCCTGACCTCAAGTGATCCGCCCTCCTTGGCCTGAGAGGATCTGATAGGAGCCCCATTCCAGCTGTGTGAGGTTGGACCAGTGGAGGGCATCTCAAGCAGAGGGGACCCCAGGGGATCCCAAAGTGCTGGGATTACAGGCATGAGCCACTGCGCCCAGCCGAAAGTATTTTGTATATTGGACTTTGTTGGATTTTGGAGAATTTGCTGAACCAGTTGAGCATCCCTACTCCCAAGTTCCAAAGTCCAAAATGCTCCAGTGAGCATTTCCTTTGAGCGTCATGTTGGCACTCAGAAAAGTTTCAGATTTTGGAGTATTTCAGATTTGGGATTTTTGGATCAGCGATGTCATGCCTCCCTCATACATTTGTGTGGTGGATTCAGTGAGATGATCCTGTCTCACTTAGGTTAGTGCTTGGCATGTGGTGGCAAGTGCTTGACAAACGTTGCCTGATGTTTGCTGGGCAGTGGCTGAAGCAGTTCATCCCTGGCGTCTGGTGTCGAGTCTTTTCCCTTTTTTTTTTTTTTTTTTTTTGAGACAGCGTCTCGCTCTGTTGCCCAGGCTGGAGTGCAGTGACATGATTTTGGCTCACTCCAACCTCTGCTTCCCAGGTTCAAGCAATTCTTCTTCCTCAGCCTCCCAGGTAGATGGGATTACAGGTGCGTGCCACCACGCCCAGCTAATTTTTGTATTTTTAGTAGAGATGAGGTTTCACCATGTTGGCCAGGCTGGTTTCCAACTCCTGACCTCAAGTGATCCACCCGCCTCGGCCTCCCAAAGTTTTGGGATTACAGACGTGAGCCACTGTGCCTGGCTGGGCCTTTCTTTCCCTCTCGGCCCTGCCCTGGGCACTGCACTTTCTCTGCTCACCTGGTGTTGCCTTTATCTCAGTGATACAGAGGATTAGCCTTATCAGGCTCCAGATAACAGCTGGACAATCCAGGAGGCTAAATGAAGCAAAGATAATTTCCTTTCAATTTCTCCTTTCCTTGTCCTTGGCAAGCCCTCACCCTAGCCACTCGGGAACCCAAGGGGCCTGTGTGCAGCCCCAGGTGATGGCAGAAGAGCACTGGCCTTGGAGTCCAGTCCTGGGGGCCTGGCGTCAGCTCTGACACTCATGCATTGATTGTGTTTCTCAGGTGCTTACTGTGGCCGGTCAGTGTGTTAGGCTCGGGGTGCCTGGTGGTGAATGGAATGGGTACGGGCTGGCTGTGTGGAGCCTGTGGCCTGGCGGGTACACAGATGGTCAGTCAGTGCTCTATAATAGGGTTGTCACTAGTGCTTCCAGAAAAATCTAGAGCTATGAGAGGATCCGATAGGAGCCCCATTCCAGCTGTGTGAGGTTGGACCAGTGGAGGCCATCTCAAGCAGAGGGGACCCCAGAAAAGACCGGGGTGGCTGGGTTGCAGCAAATGGGGCAGAGTGACGGGGAATACATTTGGAGGCCTTGGTAAGGATTCTGATGTCTTTATTTTAGAAGAAATGAGAAGCCACTGAGTAATTTCTCACTGAGCTCCCCACTGCGCCATCTCTCTAATGATCAGATTTCCATGTTAACTTTGGTTATGGTGTGGACTTGAAGGACTTGGAGACTGGAGCAGGACTGGCATGGCATGAGTCCAGGTGAAAGTGAATAGTGCCTCGGACCAGGTGTCTTGGACAAGGTGGAGGCCGGGCCCTCTGTGTCTTTTCAGTTTTTCCCTCTGTAGATTTCTGAAGCTGCATTGGCTGGCCTACAGCTCTCTGCAACCCTGACAGCTGGTGCAGGAGGTGAAATGGTGCATGGCCTTTGTAGATCATATCTCAGTACTTGTAACCCTGACATCTCCCGCCACAGGAGGTGAAACGGTGCGTGGCCTTCATGGACTGGGTCCCAGTGCTTGCAGCCCTGACGTCTCCCACTGCAGGAGGTGAAATGATGCATGGCCTTCGTGGATCAGATCCTAGCACTTGTAGCCCTGACATCTTCCGATGCAGGAAGTGAAATGGTGCATGGCCTTCGCAGATCAGATCCCACTTGTAGAGGGTGAGGGGGACCAATTTGAGGTCTCAGGCCCAGGGCATGAGCAGAAAGGGCACTGCAGATTTTCAGGGAAACCTGAGTCAGATTCAGACTCTGTCTTGTGCCACTTTCCCTAAGTGGGAGGACTGAGGGCTGCTCTGAGAAAGGTTGGGTTGGATCCATATCTGCCCCCCAGAGCCAGGCACTTCCTGGGTGCTTGGAAAACGCATGCTGAATTATTGAGGGAGCTGTTATTGACCTGATCCGATTTATTTCTCCATCCTTGCCATGTGGAATAAATGTGTACTGACTGCATAAATGCATGAATGGATGAGGAATGCCAAGATGGTCCTCATGGATCCTCATTGAGGCCCCAAGTCCTGTGACTGATTCATCTCTGCCTTCACCCGAGCAGCCAGTGAATGGGTACTCCCGCTAGTCCAAAATGGTTCATGAATGAAGACATAAAAATAAAAAAGAAAACATTGATGGGAGTCCCTAGGTTATTTTTAGCTGCAGTTGACTCAGGCTGAACTTTGAACTAGTGTCTGTTCTCCAGGCCACACTCAGACTGATGGATGGACAGCTGGGCCGGTGCTTGGAGACTTCCAGGCACACAGAAAGCCATGGGGGCATGTGATCCTGAGGTCACAGTGGACATCTGGGCCTCTGCCCTGTGGAAGGGGGAGGAGGCCTGCAGGATCTCTATCTCTGACGTTTCCTGAGAAGGAATGGAGAAAAGAGAACTGGCTGCTACTACATTCATTCATTCATTCATTCATTCATTTATTTATTTATTTATTTATTTTGAGATGGAGTCTTGCTCTGTTGCCCAGGCTGGAGTGCAGTGGCATGATCTGGGCTCACTGCTACCTCTACCTCCCAGATTCAAGTGATTCTCCTGCCTCAGCCTCCTGAGTAGCTGGGTGTATAGGTGTGCGCCACCACACCCGGCTAATTTTTGGAATTTTAGTAGAGATGGGGTTTCACCATGTTGGCTAGGCTGGTCTCGAGCTCCTGACCTCAAGCGATCTGCCCACCTCAGCCTCCCAAAGTGCTGGGATTACAGGCATGAACCATTGCAACCTGCCTACTACGTTTTAACCTGGGGATGGAATATGGTGCTGCGTATTCCTCCAGTAGTTGCTGAGTACCTGGGCCAGCCCCTGAGGCTGTGATTTTTGGGGGCATCTGGGAGCCCATGTGAAATAGCATTCTGAGACCTTTACAGTTTTCTTTGGAAAGCAAGAGCAGGAGGGGTGAGGAAAGGCCAACACTTTTAATCCTCCTGATGACCCTGCAAGGTGCATCGCGTCAACCTTAAATAGTGAGATTCAGAAAGTAGGATTAAGTAGAGTTTATTCAGGCTCTGAAGTTGAGGATGGCCACCGGGGAGCATAGATTCAAGTTACCCTGAATATACCCTCCGATTAACTGTAGTAACAAGTGGGCTTTTTAAGGTGCAGGGAAAAGAGGCAGTTTCTAAGTCATTTACCAAAAATTTATATTAAAATAATATAAGCTACTGGCCAAGTTCACGCCTGTAATCCCAGCAATTTGGGAGGCCAAAGCGGGTGGATCACTTGAGGTCAGGAGTTCGAGACCAGCCTGGCTAACATGGTGAAACTCAATCTCTACTAAAAATACCAAAAGTGAGCTGGGTGTGGTGGCGGGCACCTGTAATCCCAGCTACTCGAGAGGCTGAGGGAGGAGAATTGCTTGAATCCGGGAGGTGGAGGTTGCAGTGAGCTGAGATCGCACCACTACACTCCATCCTGGGCTAATGAATGAGACTCTGAATCAAAAACAAAAAGCTACTGATTGGCTGTGCGTTGTTCTTTGTATGATGCTTTCCAGGATCATAAAATTAATGGATGAGGCAGCTAGTCAGAAACAAAATGCCTTGAAATAATTGCCACCGGGCGTGGATGCAAAGGGCATGACTCAGGTCTGTGTTTGTGTCTCCCCAGGCCTCATACATTTTGCATACTTCACATAGCTCATAACTGCTCTGAGCTGTTTTTCTCTTTTCAGTAGTATTGTCCCCATTTTCCAGGTGAGGAAACTGAGGCTCGCAGACTTTCTAAGAATGCACTGAGGTCATGGAGCAGGTGTGAGCTTTGCTTCCAGATTTGTCTGCTTCTTGGACCTGCGCTTTTCCCATCCACTAGGACCTGGGCTCCAAAGGGAGACTGGGACAGAGTTCCACTTCTCGGCTGAAAGAGTTGATGGTGATATCTGGCTCACCATCTTTGGTGGGTGTGGTGCTGTTGAGGCCTGGAGCGCTGCTGGAATGCATGGTCAGGAGCTTAGCTGAGGTCCCTGTCAGAAGCTTCCAGATGGTCCCAGGGGATTGACACTCCCTTGCCTCTTCCCGAGGGACTGTGGAGACTCGCAGACTCGCGGCTGCCTCTCCGTTCTTCCCATGACAGTAGGCGGGAGAGGGTAATGCAGGTTTTAATGTATTTATCGTTGTCAGATTTCCATAGTAACCCCATGAGGGGGTGTCAGTGTTTTACAGAGGGAAACTGGCTTCAAGACAAGTGACTTGCCCAAGGTCACACAGCTAGTGGGAGGCAGAGTGGGGGTGGGGGGGTGCACAGCTACGGCTCAGGGTGGAGGTTGATGGGGAGGGGAGGGGAGGGGAGTGGAGAGAAGGTCTTATGTGCTTGTTCACTTTGGTGGAGGCAAAGTGGGGGTGGCGCATGCAGAGCTGCCAGCCCAGGGTGGATGTGGATGGGGAGGGAGAGAAGGTCCCATGTACTCACTTTACCTGCCAGGTTCTTGGGTGGACTGGCCCCTGCCCCTGCCTCTCCCTCTGCCTCAACCATGCAGGCCCCTCAGCCCCTCCCTCTGCCTCCTTCTACCTGGGATGCTCTTCCCAGCTCCTCTCAAGCCTCCTTTAAGTCTCGCTCAGGGTCACCTCCTCAGAGAGGCCTTCCCTGACCACCGTGGCTGAAGCAGCCCTATTCTCCCCGTTGTTTACTCATTGCCATGCTCACCATCTGTGGTTACTGTCATGCGCGTGCGTGTGAAGAGACCACCAAACAGGCTTTGTGTGAGCAACATGGCTGTTTATTTCGCCTGGGTGCAGGCGGGCTGAGTCCGGAAAAGAGAGTCAGCGAAGGGAGATAAGGGTGGGGCCGTTTTATAGGATTTGGGTAGGTAAAGGAAAATTACAGTCAAAGGGGGGTTGTTCTCTGGTGGGCAGGAGTAGGGGGTCACACGGTGCTCAGTGGGGGAGCTTTTGGAGTCAGGATGAGCCGGAAAAGGACTTTCACAAGATAATGTCATCAGTTAAGACAAGGACCGGCCATTTTCACTTCTTTTGTGGTGGAATGGCAAACGTTAAGGTGGGGCAGGGCATTTTCACTTCTTCTGTGATTCTTCAGTTACTTCGGGCCATCTGGGTGTATACCTGCAAGTCACAGGGGATGCGATGGCTTGACTTGGGCTCAGAGGCCTGACAGTTACCTTGCTTATTTCCTGACCAGGCCTCACACTGAAGGTCCCTGTGTGCAGCCAGAGGCCTTGCTGTCTCTGTCACTGCTTTACCTCCAGGGTCTGAGATGACACCAGAGACCCGGCAGGTCATCAGTCAACCTTGCGGAATGAACGTAGGGTCTGGCCACACTCCCTTGGTTTTGTGTCCTTCCTTCAGACCTCCCCGGCTGGGTCGTTGAGCCCCAGACTCCTGGCCCCTGACACTCATAGCCAGGCCATTCTGTCTCCTATAGGGCATAAACAATCTCAGAACACTAGCCTCAGGCCATGTCCCTCTGAGACTATGATCAGATGAGACACAATAAGCCCTCTTCCCGATTTTTTTTTTTTTTTTCCTTGAGACGGAATCTCGCTCTGTCATCCAGGCTGGAGTGCAGTGGCATGATCTCAGCTCACTGCAACCTCTGCCTCCCAGGTTCAAGCGATTCTTCTGCCTCAGCCTCCCAAGTAGCTGGGAGTACAGGAACAGGCCACTATGCCCAGCTAATTTTTGTATTTTTAGTAAAGACGGAGTTTATTGGCCAGGCTGGTCTCAAACTCCTGACCTCAAGTGATCCGCTCACCTTGGCCTCCCAAACTGCTTTGATTACAGGTGTGAGCCACCGTGCCTGGCCTCCTCTTCATGATTTTTGTCTAAGCACAGACAAAACAAGATCTCTGTGCCACCCACAAAGCACCAAACATCTTGGTAAATGTTCCTTTTTTCCCAGCCTCACCCCCACTTTCTGACAGCAGCCAATCCAGAGCTAACCCTGGCTTCCTTAAACCCTCCTCAAGTCACCCTGCCAAACCCCATGGGTTTCCTAACAGCATCTTACTGAGATGCCCTGTGGTTCCCCATGCTGTGTGTTCTCCCTCATTGCGCCGACCAGTGAGCCCCACCTGTGCACCTCCAGCTCTTCTGGGTTGTCTGGGGTCATTGACACCCGAGAGAGATGATATCTGGGCCTTCTGGACTCAAGTGCAGGTTTCTCCTACTCTTGATCTTGAACTAGTCATTTTCCTTTTAGGACCGAAATGACCTTATTTCTGTAGAGAGGTGGCTGGTGGGACCCATGCGATGCCACGGTAGATGGGAAATTTGTGAATTTCAAGTGCCCTTTGGGCGTTAGCTGACTTTGTCATCATGATTCTTCTCATTTCCAGAGGGGGAAACAGGCCTGAAGGGGAAGTCCCACAGCTGGGAGGTGGCAGAGCTGAGGCTCCAGCTCTGGAATGACTGACCCCAGCGTCCTAGCTTTGAGCCACCTGACCTCCCACCTTGTGACCCTCAGATGTGGTCGGGGGTGGTGGAAAGAGGTCAGAGGATTTGAGCAAGGAGTTCTTGAGACTCAGTGCCCTGGAATCAAGCACCTCACCCCCAGGGCCAGCCCTCCCGGGTCGTGAGCTGAGCTCAGGGCAGCCCTCCAAGTTCATGGTCCACATCTTGGACATTCCTGCCCACCCGGAGCGCTCAGCCCTTTGTGCCAAGAGGAGCTCAGCTGGTTCACATTCTGAGGAGACTGTGTTCTGGAATGTGCTGCCCTTTCAGCTTAGAAAGAGAAGGAATTTGGGTCTTTTCAGGATAAAGCCTGCCTTGTGGGAGAAGAAAGGGAGAGTAACGCTTTGCATGTGCAAAATACTTTAAACATGGTTTTGCATCTATGTGTTTAAACTTCAAACAACCACATGAGTTCAGTGTGATTATTTTTGCTTGATAGATGGAGAACCACGCTCAGAGGAGGCAAGTCACAGGCTCAAGGACACACAAGCGTGGGACTGGGACTTGAACCTTGGGTTGTGGACCCCCAAGGTGGGTTTTTGTTTTGAGACGGAGTTTTTCGCTCTCTCACCCAGGCTGGAGTGCAGTGGCATGATCTTGGCTCACTGCAACCTCTGCCTCCTGGGTTCAAGCGATTCTCCTGCCTCAGCCTCCCGAGTAGTTGGGACTACAGGCACACACGCCACCACACCTTGCTAATGTTTTAAGTATTTTTAGTAGAGACAGAATTTCACCATGTTGGCCAGGCTGGTCTTGAACTCCTGACCTCAAGTGATTTGCCCACCTCGGTCTCCCAAAGTGCTGGGATTACAGGTGTGAGCCACCGTGCCCAGCCCAAGGTGGGTTTTTGACCCCCTACTTTCTAGTTGCATTGGATTTCAGGCCCTGGATACCCACCTAGGACCCCCTGTTGGAGGTAGAGGGGCTGGGGTCTGGTGATGGGGCCACTACTGACCTCTCTGCCTCTGTCCCCTGCCCTTGTGTCCCAGGCTGCAGTGGAAGCACACCTCCTCCCTGAAGGTGGCCAACGAGCCCATCTTAGCCTTCACGCAGGGCAGCCCTGAGCGAGAGGCCCTGCAAAAGGTAACGGGAGGGTGAGGGGGCACCCGAGAGGTGCAGGGCACGGAGCAGAGGCCGCGCCCAGCAGCCCTGAGCTAGTGCTCCGTGCCTGCAGCCATCACCCACTTCTACCCTTGCTCCCCGCCTTGGGAGGAAGCCTGGGAGGGCTGTGGGTCTGGAGTGTGGGAACAGCTGTGAGGACCAGGGTGGCAGCCTAGAGCTACTTTGGGGCTTTTCAGGCCAGGTCAGATGTCATAAGCCCAGTTGTTTTATACTTAAACATGTTTTCCAGTTAATTGCCAGCATTTTAAAGATCATGAGATTTCACATAAGTTTCAGGTGCAGTTTTTTTATCTCTGTGTCATGGGTAGACCTCACCTTCCTGCAGGGTGACAATGGCTGGAACAGAGTCTAGCTGCCCCCGAGAGGAGCACACATTCTCTGATGGCTGCCAACCTGGCCTGGCCCCCGTCTCATTTCTGTGTCAGCCTGGGCATCTCTGTCTGTGGACTCTGCGTTGGGGTTTTAGATGGGAGGAAGCGAGGAAGGCAGTGACCATACCCGCTCTCGTCCCTCTCCCCAGGCCTTGAAGGACCTGAAGGGCCGGACGGAAGCCATCCCATGCGTGGTGGGGGATGAGGAGGTGTGGACATCGGACGTGCAGTACCAGGTGTCGGTATGTCCGGCGGGTGGGCAGCGCTCAGCCCCTCCCCTGAATATGTGACCTCTTTCTCTGACTTATAAGCTCGTAAGCTTATAATGTGTGGGCTCTGACTTCAAGGCCTTTATAGTGCCCCTCCCCACCCCAGATTTTGAATTCTGTGGACCAGTAAAACTTCCCAAAGCAAAGGACGGCACCCACACTGCATCCAGCCTCTAGCGGCACCCTGTGTCTGGGCAAGAACGGCCATGAGGGGTCCACACAGCATCTTCTGTTATTCCTCATAGATTTCTTGCCAAGGGGATTTGGGAGCTAATGGCAAAAAGCTGGGCCCCAGGCCCCGAGCTCCTCAGATGGCATTGGCCTAAGAAGCCCCCATGCTTGGAGTTTATCCTTCCAGAAACTGGCAGGCACTTTACATGGGCCAGGAAACTCATAGGTCTGTGATTTGGAGGAGAGTAAAAGGTCGGGCCTTTTGCAAACAGGGCAAGCACATTCTGGCTCTGTCCGGCTGAAACCCTGGGCAGATGTGTGCAGGGGGAGGGGTGACTGAGCAGGAGGACCCAGGTCCCCCAGTCTGAAGGTTCCCAGGACAGCCTGGGGCAGGAGTTGACCACAGAGGTGTCCTGGAGCTCTTGTCGCTGGGTCAGGACTACCTGGAGCTGTCTAAGCGTGGCCTGGGGTCTGCAGGTCTTGGCCAGGTCACTCTGTCTGCACTGGGTGTGTGTGCAGGTGCCAACTGACAGCAGCACCCACCGCCCAGCTCCCTGGTTGTCTCTGTAACTGCCCAGAGCCTGCCCTTACCTGCAGCTCCCCGGGTGTCCGAGGCCGCATGGCAGCTGGGATTTTTCCAGGCAGCGAGGCTCCGGCATTCTGATAAGGCCCTGGGTGGATACTGCTGATTTTCATTTCCCACATTGCCTCGCCGACCTGGCTGGAGGTTCTGGCCATGTGCTGATCACTGTGGCACCAGACATTTGGGGTACTGGGGCGTGTGAGGGCAGGATCTATGTTTGCTGGGACATAGCGCTGACGGGGCTCTGCAGTCCACTGGGGCCCAGGTTGCAGCCACCTTCTCAGCCCCTAAGCATCACAGGCCAATCTCAGGTAGGGTCAGAATACACAGTGACTGTGCCAAGGTTTAACGTGAAGGAGAATGGTCACTTTCTACTCAAGCCTAGACCAGCGCTGGCCAATAGAATTTCCTCCAGTGATGGCAGAAATGTGCCAGATCTGCATTGTCCGTTCCAGTGGCCACGAGCCACGTGTGGTTGTCCAGCATGCGAAATGTGGCTCGTGGCTACTGTTTTAGACAGGCCAGGTCAGATGTCATAAGCCCAGTTGTTTTATACTTAAACATGTTTTCCAGTTAATTGCCAGCATTTTAAAGATCATGAGATTTCACATAAGTTTCAGGTGCAGTTTTTTTATCTCTGTGTCATGGGTAGACCTCACCTTCCTGCAGTAACTCACCAGAAGACGGATAGGTAGCAAAAGTGTTAGCTGTTGTGATATAAACTCTCTTGCCAGCCCTGGGAAGGAAAGAAGTGAAATTTCTCCCTGCTCTGTTGGTCGTGCTGGCATTCACCACTGCCAAGCATTAGGTTTTGAAGGGAAGACGAGGGTTAAAGAAAAACACACACACAGAGAGAGGACGGCTGAGACAGCAACACCGTATTTTGCAGAAACCTGAGGAAGTGGGGGACCAGCTTAATGCCAGGGCCCACCTCTGCTTCCAGGCTGGGGTACTCATCGGTATGTGTGGACGGGTCTGGGCAGTATGGCTTGCTGCCTGGCAGGATATTGATAAGATGTTGTTATGATCAGGCAGTTTGGCCCCCTCCAGTGGGATGTCATCGTGGTGTTCCTTATACCTTTACCCAGCAAGATATGATAGGGATGTTTCTTTTTTCTTCATTTTTTTTGAGACAGAGTCTTGCTCTGTCGCCCAGGCTGGAGTGCAGTGGCGAGATCTCGGCTCACTGTAAGCTCTGCCTCCCGGGTTCACGCCGTTCTCCTGCCTCAGCCTCCCAAGTAGCTGGGACTACAGGTGCCCACCACCACCCCTGGCTAATTTTTTGTATTTTTAGTAGAGATGGGGTTTCACTGTGTTAGCCAGGATGGTCTCGATCTCCTGACCTTGTGATCCGCCCACCTCAGCCTCCCAAAATACTGGGATTGCAGGCGTAAGCCACCGTGCCTGGCCGATAGGGAAGTTTCTTTAGGTGGCCCTTTGTCTGCCTTGCAGTCACAAGTGGCTGAGCCAGATGTTTCTCATGACCTGAGCTCCCATGAAATGTTTTACTTGGACCAAGGTCTGCAAAATAGTGGGGAGCTTACAAAATGGTGCGGTTTGAACCAACACCAGGTTCTGTTTATAAATGTTTGTTGAGGATCTTCCTATTTAGATTAGTAAATCTGGGGCTTAGGAAGCAATTGCTCTGTCCATAATGGCTTCGGGGCAGGGCGGAAGTCTCAAGCATTTCACAACACCGGTGAGTTCTTTTTGACCTCACCTGGTCATGTTGCCCATGGTCATAGCCTCATGCTGGACCAAAGAATTTTCATCCATGATCCCCTTTGGTTCTCCTGTCCATGCTAAGAGACAGGGAGGGCAGTCCGCATTTCCTAGATGAGGAGACTTAGGGGAGGAAGCGAGCTTACCCGGGGCCTCACAGCTAGTAGGTGGCAGAGCCAGGATTCGAACCGATGTCTCCCTGACCACAAAGGTCCATGCTTTCCTGGAAAGACCCTGTGGTGTATGCCTTTCTCCTGGACGGTGAGCCTTCCGGAGAAGGAACCACTCTTACTCATCGTATAGTGGGTACACCAGCACTCTTAACAGGGAGCAACCGGTGGGCTGGGCACTGGGGAGGGCTTCATGGGAGCAGGCCGGGGACAGTAGGCGTGTCCAGGACTTTCCTGGAAAACCAGCTCTGAGCCCGGCCCTCTCCATCCTTATCCTGGCACCTCCCTCCTGGACAGGGACCTCACTTCTCTCTCCTTTCAGCCTTTTAACCATGGACACAAGGTGGCCAAGTTCTGTTACGCAGACAAGGTGAGTGAGCCCCTGCTGCTGGTGACCGGGGGGTTAGGGTTGCTGCCCCTGCCCTGCCCTGCCAGCTGTTGATATGGGGGTGGGCATCAGTTGCTGTGTCCTTCTTTGGCCATGGTGGGTAGGTGGCCAGGGGGCGGCTGGCACTGAGGGAGTCCCTGGGTGATGTCTTTGACTGGGCCAGGCATGCAAAGGTTAACTTGAGCCAAATGCAAGCTGCCTCAGCCAGGGCCGAGACATTCCCAGACATGCCCGTGGTGGGGCAGATCTTGGACTGGGGAGGAGGTGGATTCTGGAAGGCTGAGTCAGGGCAATTGGAGACACCATCGATGGAAAGCCAGGCCGAGAATTGGCACTGGAAAGGGCCAGCAGGAGGGGCTGGGGTGACTGGGGGTCCAGGAGCTGGCATTGTGTGGCGATGAGGGCAGTTGGGGTCTGGAGGCCAGCGGCAGAGCCATGTCTCAGGCTCCAGCTGACCTCAAGTTTCTGAATGGTGGGTTCAGGGGCACCAGGTCCCAAGAATAAGGTGAGGTTTTGATTAGACCAGAGAGAAAGTGGAGCCACTTTAACAGCTGTGGGAATTAGCGCCAAGGCCTTAGAGAGCTGACCAACCTGGCCGGGCCCTTCAGGCTTCAGACTGCCAACCGCTACAGGCTCTGACGGGACGCTGTTGGCAGTTGTGATGGCAGGGGGCTGAGGGACCAGGCAGACAGGCATTGTCCCTGGATGGAAGAGAGTGGCCTTCCAGCTCTCTCCTCCCTCGCTCACTCCCCAGGGCCCTTCCCGCTGCAGGCGGTAGTTCCCAACCTCTCCCTCTCCCTTTAGAGCCTGCTCAACAAAGCCATCGAGGCTGCCCTGGCTGCCCGGAAAGAGTGGGACCTGAAGCCTATTGCAGACCGGGCCCAGATCTTCCTGAAGGCGGCAGACATGCTGAGTGGGCCGCACAGGGCTGAGATCCTCGCCAAGACCATGGTGGGACAGGTGAGGTGCTGGTGGGTCCGGGTGGGTGGAGCGGGGTGGGCTGGGAGTCAGCCGTGCCCCACTCATGGCAGCAGACATCAACTGAAGCGCTTCTGGGTCCCAAGCCCTTTTGGGGACCCAGAGATGTCCTCAAGGGACAAGGCCTAGGAGCTGGGATGGATGATCACAAGTTATTGTGCAGAGCCCGTATGTCCTGCCTCGGAAATGTCCCCTGTCCTCCATCCCTCTGCCCTCGCTCCTAGGCTTCGTCATGCTTTGCCTGGACTGGTGGTGGCCTGCACTGTCTCCCTGCCTCCCAGCTTGGTCAGCCCCTCGCCGCCCTCAGAATGGTCTTTCCAACACCTCCAGGATGTCACTCCTGGCTTACGACCCACCCAGACCTCTCCACTGCTGAGAGGCAAGTCCCAAGACCTGAGCCCCATATCCAGGGCCCTTCTGCCCACCTCTGTCCAGCTCGCCCGCTATCCTGCCCTTCCCTGCCAAGCTGTCCCACCCATGGTTATGCCATCCTGGGGACTTAGCAGGGACTCCCTGGTCACGGGCAGACATCGTCTCTGCCTCTGTCCACTGTGTCCTCCTAGCCTGGGCTTGCGTGTCGTTCCGGTGCTCGTTACTCTTACCTCCTGGGTCCAGCCCTGATGGTTAGCGCCTCTGCGCGGTGAGGCTTCCTGGAGTCTTCTCCAGCCGAAAGGACTATTCCTGCCTCTGTTTCCCCAGAACATGGCGTTGTTCCTGCCATCAGTTACATGCTCAGAGTTGCACTGGAGTGAAAGATTAGTTTCCTAGGTACTGGCCCCGTTACAAGCTTTTTGCATCATAGTAAACATGTCTTGACATTCCAGTCTTTTCTGGCTTGCAACGATACCTTTCCAGGAGGCATAGCAAGCTCCCTGATCAATGGTTTTCTCTGCAGAGCTGCACACACTTCTCGTCCTGCTAAATGCAAGTTGAGTGAGAGGTCTCTAGCAGGCAGAGTGTGCTGGGGACAGGAGCCGAGGGGAAGGGTTATTTCACCACCTCCAGGACCTGACGCCTACGCTGCCAATAACCTGGGTTCCTGAAGGGTAAATTGCAGGAGCCGGAACCCAGGCTGCTTTCTGGATCAGGCATTTGCCACCGCCTGCTCCCCGGGCCTCATGGTGAGGACCCCTCTGCTGCACAGAGCTGTGATGGCAGCCCCTCATCCTGCTGAATGCTCCTAGATTGGCCAGCAGCCTCTGGGGGTGTCCGGCTCTGCGTGTTCCCGGTGAGCCGCACATTGCTGGGAAGACAGTCTAGGATCAGTTTAGGCTCTTCTGTATTTGGCCTGAGCTGAGACTCAAGGAACCTTCTAGAAGGCCACTTCTTCGTCTAATCATCACCTTGTAGCTCAGCTTCCTGGGCTGTGTGTCTCTAATAGGTCATGCACCTGCCAGTGACCTTGGGTGCCAAGAGGGGGCCACGTCAATCTGGAAAAGCCCTGTTCTTGGCTGTACACAATTTTTTTCCCTGCAGCTCACATTCACTGTTAGTAACAATGGACGGTTTAAGGGACTCACAGTCACTCTCCTCTTGGTTTTTGGCCCAAACTAACCAGCAAGGCCGAGCATCATTCCTGGAGAAGGAACCATCCGCCTACCACACACCGAGTCTCTGCCCTGGTTTTCCAGTGACCAGTCTCCGGCTCATGCTAGTCTGCCCTTCTGTCTGGAAGGCTCTGATCCTGAATTTGGTCTGAGGCTTGACCATAGATCCTTTGCCATCCTCCACCATTCAGAGTTGCTATGAAACGAAGACAGTGCATGGGAAGTACCTGGCCTGCTGCAGAGGATCAGTCAATTCTGCTGATCCCCGTCCAGCCCAGAGGGCCGGCTGCAGGAGGTGCTGGCTCAAGGGCTTGAGAATCCTTTCCCCGTCAGCCCCCGGGACGGGACCTGGTCAGCCCTCCAAATGTTTCCTGGTGCCTGCTGGGGCCTGGCTCAGTGCTCGCGTTGGGCACAGGGTCAGATGTGAGAAGAGGATGGACAGGAGGCTGTTAGCTGTTCCTGACCCCTGGCCCTCTGCCTTGCAGGGTAAGACCGTGATCCAAGCGGAGATTGACGCTGCAGTGGAACTCATCGACTTCTTCCGGTTCAACGCCAAGTATGCGGTGGAGCTGGAGGGGCAGCAGCCCATCAGCGTGCCCCCGAGCACCAACAGCACGGTGTACCGGGGTCTGGAGGTACCTGCAGGAGGCAGTGGGCGGACACACGGGGCAGCCCAATGCCGTGGGCTTGGCCTCACTGCTGCCTCCTTCCCCAGGGCTTCGTGGCGGCCATCTCGCCCTTTAACTTCACTGCAATAGGCGGCAACCTGGCAGGGGCACCGGCCCTGATGGTGAGATGTGGGCACAGGTGGGACAGCGGCAGCTGGTTGTCCTCCTGGTCCCAACAGACAGACAGAGGCCACCCTGAGCCCCTTGGGTCTCAGCCTAGTCATGGGCAGAGGCACAGAAGGTGGAGGCCGCATGGGCTGTGGGTAGGCTTTGGGACCAGAGACCCAGTTTGAATCCCAGCATCGTCCCTCTCTACCTGGGAGACCCTGGCAGTCCCCACATTTCTCTGAGGCACAATTTCCTCATCTGCAAAGTGGAAATAATAGGAAAGCCTCCATGACTGGGTTGTGAGACTCAAATGAGACACATCCAGCAGCAGGCAGGGCTGGCCCGGAGCTGGCTGAGTGTTGGCGGCTCTGTTGATGACAATTACCACTGACCTTCGGTGCTCACCACGTGCCTGCTGCTGTCAAGCACGGCATGGAGATGATCTCATTTCATCCTCTCAGCAGCTCCGAGAGGGAGTTGTGACTCTGCCTCTTTGCCAGATGACAAAACTGAGACACGCAGCCGTGACTTACTTGGCAAGACTGAGTGACTAGTAAATAAATGATGGAGCAGAGAAGGATTTGGATGTAGAGTCTCTCTTGGGGTTGATGGTATTCAAGTCACTCCTCTGCCATTATGGGAGTGAGGGTGGCTGTTACTGGATGAAGTCCCTGACCTATGGGGGAGACTCAGCCCAGCTCCCAGACAGCCTGGGCGGGAGAAGTCCACATAGTCATCGGGAACCCTGAGCCCCAGACAGGGGCACTGGATGCTGATGCCAGGGTGTGTACTAGGGACATGCATGGGGACATCCTCATGCATCTGTGCACAGACAAACACGGTGCATGGCCAGGCATCCACGTGCCTGGCTGCTGCACATGCCTGACCCAGGATGTGTGCTGAGAGAGCCTGTGTACACTTGCCCCGCCGCGCCCAGTGAGCACTCAGTGACTAGCACAAAGAACAGACCTGCCCAGGTGATGGCAGGACTGGTTGGTGCAGGCTGCTGGGGAAAGGGAGCCTTGGCCAGAGCATGGGGTAGATCGGGCCGTGCCGTGGTCTCCTTGGCAGGGACTTTTGGAGACAGGGCCAGACGCCTTGGAGGAGTGGGGTCCGGTAGGGAATGTCCTGGTTGACACAGGGTCTAGTGGTTCCAGGTGAGGGACGACCATGCTGTAGGGTGGGGGTGGGGGTTGGGGGCTGGTGGCGCCATCCTCATGCATCACCAGAACACCTCCCGTGCAGGGCAACGTGGTCCTGTGGAAGCCCAGTGACACCGCCATGCTGGCCAGCTATGCCGTCTACCGCGTCCTCCGGGAGGCCGGCCTGCCCCCCAACATCATCCAGTTTGTGCCAGCGGATGGGCCTCTATTTGGGGACACTGTCACCAGCTCAGAGCACCTCTGTGGCATCAACTTCACAGGCAGTGTGCCGTAAGTCCCTGGGGATGGTGTAGGCTGGGGTGGCTAGGGGACGTTCACAGGCAACCCCGGTCACCTGCTGTCTGTGAACCCAGGGTCATACACTGACCCTACTCCTTTACTTGCTGTGTGGCTATGAGTGAGCCACTTCACCTCTCTGAGCTTCCATTTCTTCATCTGTACACGGAGTGATTATCCTTAATTTGCAGAGTGATTGCAAGGATTAAACGTGTTAATGAACAGGAAAGAGCTTCGCAGGCTGGAAGTGCACCCTACGGCTGTGGGTGATTTTGGTTTCAGTGCTACCTCTGCTACTGGGGAGGACACAGGGGAGCATAGAATGAATTGGAGGAGTCAGGAAGGCTTCTTGAGGAGGTGGCATCTAAGCAGAGGACTTGGCCAGGCAGAGGGGAAGAGGCAGGAGAAGAATATATACGCTGGGAGAGGGAACAGCACATACGATGTCGTCAAGGCAAAAACACGTGTTCTGGGGCATGGCCGGATCCTGTGTGGCTGGAGTGTGGAGTTTGGGGGAGACAGGGCAAGAGAGTGAGGGCGGGGCATGGTTCGAGTTGAGGTAGGGGAGGCAGGCCACTACCTGATCTCGACTGTGCATGCACTCACTGGCTGAGCAGGTAATTTGGAGCTCACACTAAGGCCCAGTGGTGAGCACACACCAGGGACAAGGTCCCAGCTCTCAGGCTGGAGGTGGCAGTTGGGGGTGGTTAGTCTGGTGACCGTAAGATACTTAGGAGTCTGCAAAGGTGTCTGGCCTTTATCCTGAAGGTGATGGGAGCCATGGAAGGTATCAAGCAGGGAGAGTGGCTGAGTCAGAGTTCTGTGTCAGCAGAGATTGCAAATCATGGCCCCCAAATTGTTTCTGGCAAGAGGCTCTACTTTTTTTGACTCCTAACAGTGATGGCTCGAGTTTGTATAATTGGGACAATTTCACAGATAAATCCAAATCTTGGCCTGTCTTGGTCCCCTGGATCTGGATGCTCTGATCTTGCATTTCCTGGTGGTACCACCGGCTGGAGTGGGTGCGCTGTGGCTCTCTGCATACCTGATCCACCCTGTTTCCTTTCCCTGCTGACTCCTCTGGGTCCCTGCATTTGCACCCTCATCCTCAATGATCTCTCTGTGGCCTGACGCAGGAGACTAGCCAGGAGCTGTCGACCTCCAGGGAGGGGTGGTGGGGGCTTGAACCAGGGCAGAGATGGGGGATGTGGAGAAGGGGGCAGGTTCAGGTGAGTAGGATGCAGGGAAGCACAGGGGCCATCGCCTGTCCTGGAGTTGGGGTTGGGGTGGGTGTGGGTGTGGGGATGAGGGGGGTAATCAGCGAGAATGTTCAAGATGGGCACCTGGGAGGGCGAGCGGGCTCGGGGGGGAAGATGAATCTCGTGTTGGTCACTTCAGGTGTTATCTGAGTGGACATGCCTGGAGGCAGCCAGAGACCTGGGTCTGCAGCTCGAGGTCCTTCTTACCTCCTCTTCCAGGCCCCAAGCTCTGCCACCCCTTCCCTGCAGCTTTGCCGGGGGTGGGGGTGGGTGGTGGCAGCGTTAGAACTGCTGAGAAGGACCATTTTCCAAAAGGCCTGCTCCGCCAGCCGCGGGCCCCTGGGCTCCCCGCCTATCAGCGGGTGGAGCGGGCCTGGCCCCTATTCTCCACGCTCTGATGAGCAGCGGGCTTAAAGGTGGGAAGGCCATAAATTAGTATTAGCTACTGTGTCGCTGGCTCCCGGGTGATTAGCATTTTTATTGTTTTGTGGTGCTGAGGTTGGTCACACTTGGAGCCTGGGGAGGAGGCGAGGCCCTCCAGGGTGGCAGCTTCGGGTGGGGCCTGAGCTCCCTCTCCCAGGACTCTGCTTGGTTTGGCCTTTCAGGCCTGGGCGCTGGGCTTGGCGGGGATCCTTCGCAGACCACAGCGGGATCTGTCCCCTTCGAGGTACCTGCAGTGTGCCCAGCATGTCTTAAGCACTTGCCTCACACTTGAACTCATCACGAAACAACCCTGCCAGGTCAGGATTGTTCTCCCTGCTTCCCAGATGAGGTGCAGAATTGGAGGCTCAGAGAGGTTAAGTAATGAACCCAGGATCACACAGCGCTGAGTGTCCTCCTGGCTGCAGAGCGTGGACCTCCTCTGCACCATCTTGCTGCCTAGCCCCCTGTTGCCCCCTCCCTGTAGTCTTGGAATGCAGCCTGTTCCCAGCTGCCATCCCCGACTTGGCTCCCACCTCCTGCTGGGCTGCTCCCCACAGTGTTCCTCCCTGGGCTTTTCTGCCCCCTTCCTCTGGCCTGGCTCCCTGATCTCCACCCTTTCTCCTGTGGTTCCAGCACCTTCAAACACCTGTGGAAGCAGGTAGCCCAGAACCTGGACCGGTTCCGCACCTTCCCACGCCTGGCTGGAGGTAAGGCCTGCCTCACCTCCTCCTCCCCTGTGGCCCCAAGGACCCCTCCCCTGGCCGTTATGAAAGAGGAGGGAGGTAGAGGGGATCCAGCCACGAGTCAGGTGGATGAACCATTTCAGGCACCAGGACTGCCCAGTGGAACTTTTTGTGATGAGGGATGCGTCCAGGACCTTCACTCTCCAATACGCAGCCACCAGCCACACGAGGCCATGGGGCCCTTGAAGGGTGGCCTGTGTGACTGAGGAACTGCGTATCTAGTTTTCTTTCATTTTAATTAAGTTAAATCTTAGTAGCCACTCGTGGCTGGTGGCTGCTGTGTCGGGCAGTGCAGCTCTAAGCTGAGGCAAGTGCAAATGCAGATACCAGAAGTGGGAATGAACTTGTATTTGAAGAAACAAAGCAAGGCCTGTGAGTAGGGAGGGAGGAAGGCTGGTAGGAGAATACGGGCTGAGAGGCAGTCATGGCTGGACCTTGTTGGCATATTAAAATTTTCCCACAAAGAAACCGTTTCATGGTCAAGGAAATTTGGCATGTGTGGTATTAAAGCAAAATGGACTCCTCTCGTGCAGAACTTCTCAGAGCCTTGATTGCTCTAATATGCGTGGCACATCTTCAAGGGCAAGGTCTGCTATGCAGTGTTTCCCACACTCACTGGGCCATGGAACCCCGTTTCTGCAAAGACCCCATGGACCAAGTGTTTTGTGGAGCACATTTTGGGAATGTGCTGAGACATAGAGGGAGGAAGAGCTGCAGCTAGCACGTGACCAGCAGAGCTGGGACTGGTGGTTCAGCATGTTTCTCTGTGGGGTGAAGTAGGGCCCACCGGGGAGTCTGGACCCTGTTCCTGCACTGGTGGGAGCTCAGATGGGGATGTCAGGGAAGGTGAACGCTCCTCAGGGTCAGCTGTGTGGCTTTCTGCTCTCAGAGCCTCCTTCCCTGCCTCCCTGAGGGAGAGAGGCGGCTGGCTACCACTTTCCAACTTGGAGCAGGTGACGTCGTCTCTCTGTGCCTCAGTTTTCTTGGCTTGAAATTGGGGATAGTGATGGGAGGTCGTTGTGAGGCTTCAGTCGGTTAAAGCGTAGAGTACTTCGTCCAGAGTTGGGCAGCTGTTAAGTGCTTCCAGCTGCTATTAGCTGCTGCTTCCCACATGGGGAGGAAACTGAGGCCAGGAGGGTGAAGTGACCTGCCTGAAGCTCCCTCTCACTGGGGAAACGGGGGAGTGGTTTCCAGCATGGGTGAGGAGGAGGGGCCCAGCCCTGGCAGCCGACATGGGGTGGGCTCCCCTGTCCCTCGTGGACAAGGGCTCAGGAGAACCTCACAAAAAGCTGTGCCCACTTCTGGGAATGGACTGGCTTTCGGGGGCCTTGGGTTCTCATCTGTCGTCTGCCGTTGTGTTGGGTAGTTTCAGTCTTCCCATTGGTGTAATGGGGCTGTTGGACCTGATCACCTCTGATGTCCTTCACCCCTCCCTGGGCCTCAGTTTCCTCGTCTGCTCTGTGCTCGTGTTGGTCCCGGGCCATGGATGGCATAGGTGGTGCTTTGGGTCCCTAGGCAGCTGGGGGAGCTGGCTCCCCTGGTCATTTCCCCATCTCCCGCCCCCGTAGAGTGCGGCGGAAAGAACTTCCACTTTGTGCACCGCTCGGCCGATGTGGACAGTGTGGTGAGCGGGACCTTGCGCTCAGCCTTCGAGTACGGCGGCCAGAAGTGCTCCGCCTGCTCGCGTCTCTACGTGCCACACTCGCTGTGGCCGCAGATCAAAGGGCGGCTGCTGGAGGAGCACGGTCGGATCAAAGTGGGCGACGTGAGTGGCACCGTCACCCCCGCCACGGCCCAGCGGGGGGCTGATGGGATTGGGTCCCCGGGAGGCTCCTCTGCAGCCAGGGCTGGGGTGTGTGGGGAGGGGGCTCCCTTTGTCTCGGCCTGCAGCGGCTCATCTCTTCTGGCGCCTCCCATGCCTCCAGCCTGCAGAGGATTTTGGGACCTTCTTCTCTGCAGTGATTGATGCCAAGGTACGGGGTGGGAAGTGGGCATTCCTGGGGCGGGGGGGAGGGGCAAGCCCTGGAGTGGGTGGGAGAGGGAGGAAGAGATATGGGGGACCCTGACCCGGGGCATGACCCGGCCCCACTGCTTTGATCAAGGCAGCTCAGCAGCCGCACATACACCTCCAGTTTCAGAAAGGGTAGAATTAGCCGTAGCCAAGAAGAGCTCATCTCGTGGCCACCCTGGAAGCAGGCTCAGCGAGCTCCTAATAGCATTTGCATGTGTGCATGTACACATGTGCTCATGAATGTGTTCATATAGGGCTCTGTGTGGTTACACATGTAGGTCTTTTTGCACATCCATTTGCACATAAGCACACACATGTGTATGTCAGTAAGTCCAGCCACACGCATGTACATGTAGAAGGCATGCAGATCCTTATATGCTTCAAGAGACATGTGACCATGCATATGCCTATATATGCATTGATTGATGTGTGTCTGTTTATACGGGAGTGCCTCTGTAGTACTAACACACGTACACATGCATGTGTACACACACATAGTGTGCGTGTCTGTCCTTGTCTCCGCTGTGGCTCAGCCAGACCCTGGCTTTTGCCCTTGGTGTCCCCCGCCCCTGCCCCTATTTCAGGAGTTGGGCCCTTCAGGTGCAGGTTTTTCGGGGTGAGTGTGTTGTGGGGGCTGCCGCAGGGATGCCTTCCCAGCCTCTTTGACCTCCCTCCCTGCCCACCCCAGTCCTTTGCCCGTATCAAGAAGTGGCTGGAGCACGCGCGCTCCTCGCCCAGCCTCACCATCCTGGCCGGGGGCAAGTGTGATGACTCCGTGGGCTATTTTGTGGAACCCTGCATCGTGGAAAGCAAGGACCCTCAGGAGCCCATCATGAAGGAGGTGACTGGGGCGGGCAGCCTGGGGTCCAGAGGAGGACAGTCCCACCGGAGCACAGCACACACACAGTTCTCCTGGAGACATTCTCCTGTTTCACAGATGAGGCCCTAAAGGGAGACCCTAAAAGGGAATGCCTCCTACCAGGAGAGGGTGGAACCAGGTTTTGAGCTCAGGCTGCCTGACTCCAAATCCAGGGCTGTGTCCTTGGCTCTGGCTGGGTCTGAGCACTGCCACAGCCCACAGCAGCCACGGCCACCGAAGTCATAATGGCTGACATTGATAGACTTACTGTGGGGCCAGCCGTGGCTGAGCACTTGGCTGAGATGAGGTGGTTGTTACTGTTCCCATTTTACAGATGAGAAACTGAGGTCAAGGCACTTGTCCAAGTTGGCAGTGCAGGGCTGGAGTCTGCCTGTGAAGATCTTCCCCCAGCCCCTTGGTAGCAGAGGGAACCATGAACCCTTCTGGAGGGAATGGTATCTCTGGGCAACTCTCATGCCAGCTGCTGCTGGAAGCCTCTGGAACCTGGACCCTTTGTTCTCCGGGTGTGGGTTTGGCAGGGAGAGCCAGGAAATGTTTGCATCTTTTGCCGGCTTGCAGTGGGATGGACAGGGCAGGGAGCTGGGCACGTTGCTGTCCTGGAGGGCCCCCAGGAGGAGGCGGCACCCGACCCTTCTTGCAGACACTGAAGTGTAGACTGAGGCCCAGAGACTGGGGAGAGGGGATTCAGAGCAGGGGCACTGGGAGGGCTCAGGGCCCTGGCCCCGTGGAGGGCCTGACGCTGGGGCATCTCTCCTAGGAGATCTTCGGGCCTGTACTGACTGTGTACGTCTACCCAGATGACAAGTACAAGGAGACACTGCAGCTGGTTGACAGCACCACCAGTTATGGCCTCACGGGGGCAGTGTTCTCCCAGGATAAGTGAGTGGCCAGGCCGCAGCCCTGGTGCTGTGCTCTGGGTGTCCTGTCCCTGTCGGCCCTCGCCCCATCCCCACCTCCTGGACGTGGCTCCCAGTAATAATGCCGCCACTACCTTCTCTCTGTCCCCTCCCCTCAGCCCAGGCAGGCAGCCAGGGCTCCCCACATGGGCCCACAGCAGCAGGCTCTTTGTTGCCAGTACTGGTGGTGCCAGTGCCAGGGTGCCACTGGGGACCAGTGAATCTGAACCTCTAGGGGCAGGGCCAGGAATTGGTGCCTTTGACTGGCTCTGCAGGATCTGGTGGGACCACACTGAGCAAGGCAATTGTCCCATGCTGCAGAGCAGGGCAGGCCAGGGGCTGCAGAGGCAGGATTCGAACCTGGGTCCCATAAGGCTAAACTTGAGGCTTCGCCTCTTCTTTCCTCCACGTCACTGGTTGCCCCCGTGTCTGCCTCTGTGAGCGAGTGGAGGTGAACTTGGAGAGGGAGGAAGGGTGGGGGCCTGGGAGCTAGAGGGCCCCCTGCTCCTGAGGGACAGGAACACTGGACCAGGACAGGCCACTCCCTTGAACTTCGAAGTAGCCCTGCGATGAGGCGTGCCAAGCCCCTCCCCAGAGGAGGAAGCTGGGCTCAGAGACTGGGTAACCTGACTGAAGGCCCACAGCCAACAGCTGGCCAGCATCCCTCATCCCCGACTCGGCCTCGTGCTGAACCTGGAAAGCCAGTGTGGGCTGGAACAGGGGTGTTGAGGCTGGAGCTGGGGCTGGAGGGCAGATGAGCTGGTTGCTCTGTCACCACTGCCCTGCTTTGTAGGGACGTCGTGCAGGAGGCCACAAAGGTGCTAAGGAATGCTGCCGGCAACTTCTACATCAACGACAAGTCCACCGGCTCGGTGGTGGGCCAGCAGCCCTTCGGGGGGGCCCGAGCCTCTGGTGAGTGGGTCCCCCTTCCCACAGGGGAGCTGAGTTCCCGGTGGGAGACCCTCAGTGCTGCGTCTCGAGGGGCTTCAGAGTAACAGGAAGGATACCATTTACTGAGCGCTGATTGTGGGCCAAGCAAGTGCGCTAGCTCAGGGTCCTTTCAGCGCACTTGTGAGCAAAGGGACTATTCTTCCCATTTTACAGAGGAGGAAACTGAGGCTCAAGGCCACATGGCCCTGGTGGGGTTGTAACTTTGGTTCCAGCAACCGTGTTTCCTGCACCATAGCCAGTGTCCCTTAAGTCCAACCAGCTCTACTTCACAGTGGGAAACAGGTTCAGAAGGAGCAACGGCTTGCCAAAGGTGACTGCTCCTGAGTGGCAGAGCCAGGGCTGAACCCTGGCGTGCTGGGGTTTCCCACACCAACCAGTTCTCCAATTCTTGGTGGACACTGGCTGGGCGTCCTACAGTTTAACTTGATGCTAACTGCCTGGGGTTAGTGCAGACCCCACAGGTTAAGAACTCAGTCCCATAAGACTGATCCCCCAACTTCAGATGCCAATCGCAAGTACTGGGACCCCAAGTTAGCCACACCTTGTCTGACTTGGCGACACATCAGAAGTTCCCACTTCAGTGTCGATACTTTGTTAGAACGGCTCACGGAACCCACGGGAAGCATACTTACTATTACCCGTGTATTGCAGAGGGGATTTTAAAGGATACAGATGAACAGCCAGACACGCAGACACATAGGGCAAAGACTGGAAGGGTCCCCAGCATAGGTACCTCCGTTACTCTGGAGTTTGGGGCTGTGCCACCCCCTTGGCACGTGGATGTGTTCACCAATCTGGAAGCTCTCCTGACCCTGTCCTGTTAGGTTTTTATGGAGGCTTCATTACACAGGCATGATTGATTCAATCATTGGCCATCGGGGTCGACTCAACCTCCAACCTCTCTGCCCTCCCTGGGCTGAAGGTTCCAAGCCTCTAATCACAGGGTTGGTTCCTTTGCCAATCAGCGCCATCCTGCAAGAGCCCTCATTAGCATAAACCAATGTGTGATTAGAAGGGGCTTGTTATGAATAACCCCCATCACTCAGGAAATTCCAAGAGCTTTAGGAGCTCTGGCTAGGAACCAGGGATGAAGGCTAGACATGTACTTATTATGGCACCCCAGGACCATGCCAGGTCCCTGCCTCTCAGTCCAATACCCTCTCCATGCCGCACCCTGCCTCTTAGACATGCTAGCATCCCAGCAAGGATGCAAGGCTGGGTGCGATGTGGAGAGAACAGTGGAGGCTTCCCAGCAGACTGGAGACTGGAGACAGGGGCTCCTGTCCATCCCTCTGGCTCTTCTGCATGCCCCAAGCTTGGCAGCAGGCCCACTGCTATCCGCCCGCGCCGCTGGCCCGTTGATTCCATCATCTCCTCCCTTCCCCTTCTGCCCAGGCTGCTGTGTCTTTTCAGAGAAAAACAGAAGTGTCTTTTCTGCAGGAACCAATGACAAGCCAGGGGGCCCACACTACATCCTCCGCTGGACGTCGCCCCAGGTCATCAAGGAGACACATAAGCCCCTGGGGGACTGGAGCTACGCGTACATGCAGTGAGCCCTGCTCGGACTCCACCGTCCTGCTGTCTGTCTGTCCAGGCAGCCGACCTCACTGCACAGACCCCGCTCCAGCCCCTCCACCCCTTCTTCATGCACAGCTGCCTTTCTAGAATCCAGGCTTGACCTCCTTCCTACCACTGTATTCTGGCCTCTCCCACGCCTCAGGCTCTGGTTTGAGACCATGCTGGGGAGGAACAGGGCCACTACCCCTTATCCCACTGGCCATGTGGGAGGTATGACTGTGGTGCCCGGCAGGTTCTCCCTCTCCCCTCCACTGGGCCCAGTGGCTCAGGGACCCGGGGGAAGGAGATGGAGCGGCTCTTGGGATTCTTTGGGGAAATGGAGACCATGCTGGGCCCCTTGGCAAACCTCACAGAGGCTCCTGGCCTTGATCCCTGCCCCTCCAGGTGTCCAGGGTAAAGTGTAACTCAGGTTGACCTGTGGGGCACAGGGGGCACCAGCTGGCCTTACCCTCTCTGGTCTGGGCTGTCTACCTTTCTCACTGTATCTTTGCCCAGACCCACCTGGGCCAGTAGGCCCCTGTACCCAGCCATACACCTTAGATGCCGGCATGCCTTTCTCCAGGTGCCTGTGTTCGGCCGAGGCCCATGTGATTCCTGGTCTGCGCCACATGGCGGGGCTGGGGGGCCGCTGGAGGCCACCTGCCAAGGCGTGGGATGGGCCGTGATGCTGGAAAACCTTGGATGGGCCTTCGTCCTACGTCAGCCTTCCCTCGGATCCTCAGGCCCTACCTCTAGAGACCTCCACTCCTAGAGCCAGTCTCAGGGTCTGGGATTTCCCTGCAGGAGCTCAGCCACCACCATGCCATGGTGACACAGGCCGAGGCAGACATTGCCCCTCCCTTCTCCCACCCCCCAGAGGCCTGGCCTTGGGTTCCTCAGCCTGGGCTTAGGACGTTGCCTGTAGAATCCTCCTCCTCTGCGTGGGAGTGGCTCTGTGTGGACCAGTCCCTCACTGGCCCATTCTTTTTTTGACACAGCCAACCTGTGACCACGATTCCTTCTACAGATGCCTCCTGCTTGGATTCTGAGTGGTCAGGGATCCATAAAGCATGACTTTCAAGGACGGTTTTTAGGGCACTGTGAAAGTGTTGGGACTTCCTCCAGGATGCCTGCATGGGACCCCCCCTGGAGCTGGTGTGGCCGTTCCCCAAGTGCCACCGGCTCATGGATGGGGGTGGGTGCCGGTGCCACCTGGGCTGGCTGTGGGTTCTGTGTCCTTCCAGGATCTGTGTCATTTCCCATGAGGGGCCAGGGCGGGTGGCTGGGGGGACACAGGCTGGAGTGTTCTCCATTCTACTGGTTCTACACTGTGAGGTGGCAATGGGATTTGCTCTGATGCCACCCAATAAAATACCTGTTACTTAATCAAAGAGGTTGATGGTCTTTCTGGAGGGGATGGTGGTGGCAGCCAACATCTTTTAAATCTGGTGGCATTGCCAGTGTGTCAGCCGGTCACGGGCACAGTGCTCTCTGACCTTCTCTCTGACCTTCTATCCCTTCATCCATAAGATGGGGTAAGCGCCCCCTCCCCCTGCCATGGGTCATCATGAGAATTGAATGAGTTAATATATACACATGCTTAGAATAGTGCCAGACACATAATGATTCAAAAATATTACCCATAAGGCTGGGTGCGGTGGCTGATCCTTGTAATCCCAGCACTATGGGAGGCTGAGATGGGCGGATCACTTGAGGCCTGGAGTTTGAGACCAGCCTGGCCAACGTGGTGAAACCCTATCTCTACTAAAAATAAAAAAAAAAACAGGCATGGCGGTATGCACCTGTAATCCCAGCTACTTGGGGAGGCTGAGGCAGGAGAGTCACTTGAACCTGGGAAGCAGAGGTTGTGGTGAGCTGAGATCACACCACTGCACTCCAGCCTGGGTGACAAAGCAAGACTCTGCCTCAAAAAAAAAAAAAAAAAAAAGTTACTCTTTACCCATTTTCATTGTAAGAACCACTATCCTGTGTTGTGATGGTTAATTTTATGTGTCAATTTGGCTGGGCATGGTGCCCAGGTATTCGGTCAAACATTCTGGGTGTTTCTGTGAAGGTGTATTTGGATGAGATTAACATTTAAATCAGTGGAGTTTTAAAAGTAAAAAGCAAGGCAGATGACCCTTCATCCTGTGGGTGGGCGTGGTCTCATCAGCTGAAGGTCTTAATAGAGTGAAGCAGGAGCTCTCCACGCAGGAAGGAATTCTGCCAGCAGATTACCCTCGCACTGAATTGCTGCAGCTCTTCCCTGGGCCTCCAGCCTGCTGGGCTGCCGTGCAGATTTTGGACTTAGTAAGCCTCCATAATCGCATGAGCCAATTCTTAAAACCTCTGTCTTGCTCCTGTTCTGTGTCTCTGGAGGACCCTGATGAATATGTGTGCCGAAGCCCCAGGGTATGTCTCCTTACAACAGCCTTTGGAAGGAAATTCTGCCACATTCCCATTTTGGAGAGAAGAAAATTTAGGTACAGAGGTCAGGGGACTTCCTGCGGGTATGGTAGTGCTGAGACATAAACCCTGGTCTGTCTGATTCCACAGTCTGTTCTCTCTCCTTCACCCAGATGTCCACGGCTAGTGCTGAGCTGTCTTGGAAAGACACTCAACTGGCCAAACGATGACTGAGAGGAGCCACTGTGGCCAGTCAGCTTGAGCCCAGGGCTGTGGGCCACCATGCAGGCCAGGTGACTTGTGGAGGGGCGGAAACGTGTGACCTGGCCTGTCCCCACCTGCCCATAATGTAAAAGGGGCTGTTTTGTAAACCACAGTGACACCTCCAGGGACAATAGGCAATACCCAGAGTGCCCTAGGCTGGAATACAGAAGGGAAGGGTGGCAACTGCATTTATAGTCATGGGACTGGCAGGCTGTGAATGGGTTTGAACCGTTGGTGTGACTTGCTCAAGATCACACTGAGACAGACTTGGCTAATTACTAAATGCTTTACCTACCCGGTTGCTTAGAGCCTTGGCGGTGACCTTACCAGGTAACTGTGGAGGTAACCTGGTAACCCATGGAGGTCGGAGGCGGGATAATTAGCGCAAGCTCATGCAGCTGGTTAGGATGAAGGCTGGGGCTTGCACTCGGGTCTGTGGGTGCCCGTAGCCCATGCTCCTCGCCACCTGCTCCACTGGGCCCCTGACTTCCAAGCTCCTCCTCTCCCACTGTTATTTTATCTAACCTTCCCCAACCTGCTGCCTTTGCCTCCTTTTGAACTAGGGGTGACTCAAAGCTATTGCTTACCCTGTTCTTGCTCCTCTCCCTCGTCCCCTAGACTTGGGGCTGGTGGCTCTTGAGGGCCCAGTGACTGCTCGGGGAACTGAGGCCTCTTTGCATGGTCACCACAGTAAGTCCCTATGTCTGCAGTGGCCCAAGAAACCCCTTCATTTCCCTGCTGTGGCCAGGGCCAGGGCCTGGAGCATGAACCATTTGACTGAGGCCGGATGTCCCTGCCACCACTGTCCCACGGGCCGCCAGTGGAGCATGCCCTCTAAGGAAATGAGGGGCCACCTGTGCTGGCTGCAGGCCACCAGGCTGACCCGGAGCTCTGGGGGGCGGGGGGGATCAGGGGAAACGGCAGGAGGCAGACCCACCCTCTGCAGAGAGTTTTCATTTTCACTAGTTCATCTCCCCGAATGCATCGTCTTATTTCCTGGGTGTTCTGTTTAGGGGCCAGATTAGTGAATAACAAAAGCCACCGTTGTTTGAACACAGGCTGTGTGCCAGGCATTGGGCTACATGCTTCGGACATCATGGCCTCGGATCCTCACGGCAATCTCATAAAGTAGGTGCTGTTGCTTCCATTTTACAGAGGAGGAAACTGCGGCACCGATGGGTTAAGTAACTAACATGCCTGTAGGAAATGAGCAGACTGGGTTTCAGTCCCACACCTCTGACTCCTAAGCCCCTGGCCATAACCACCACCGCACGGTGCCCTGGAGCTAGACAGGCGCTGGGCTCAAATCCCACCCTTAGCCCCTGGTTCCTGTGCCTTGACCTCCCAGCTTCAGACTCCTCCAGGAGCTGAGGACCAAATGAAATACTTAAAAACAAAACACTGCATCCCATGGCCTGCCGGGGCGAGGTGCCCAATCAATGTGAACTTTTAATTTTCAACCTCAACACTTCTTCATCCTAGATAGGTGTGTTTCCAGGAAAGAGGAGAAGCCAGATTTACATGAGCACCTATTCATAGGTCAATTGTTCCTACGAATTCCCTTGGACCACCCGGCCTGTGAGATAGTATTTTAGCGCCATTTCACGGGTGAGGACTGAGGCTGACAGAGGTGAAGAGAGACCTGCTTAGTAAGGGACAGAGAAGAACAGAACTTGTTTCTGATGACCATACCATCAACCCCTTGTCCTCATCCCCCACAGGAATCCATCCTTCTGGGTGGTCTGTGCATGAGTGGGAGGTGGCATTGCTGCTGTCATGGCTCTGAACACAACCAGCCAGCCTTGTCCTTCTGTGTCCGAGGGGCTGCCAGCCCCCTTGGATGATGGAGCAGGTACCACATGCCCCTCAGGCACCCAAGGTAGAGCAAAAAGCTGTTTCAGGCCTCTGCCATGCTTTCCCTCAGCCCTATGTGCCCAGGCAGCTGCCCTCTTTCCCTGAGCATCTGGTCCATAGAGGTTGGAGGGAGCTGACGTTCTATTGGGCACCTGCTCCGGGATGTGCATCGGGGCAGGCATCGCTGGAGGGAGAGTGAGGCTCAGCGAGGGAAATGCCCAGAAGAGGCCACGCAGCAAGTGGCAGAGCCAGAACTGGAACCCCAGTGAGTCAGATTAGAGTCTTAGTTGACAGTCACAGAGAGTCATAGACCCTAGCCTTTCACTAGGGCTGAAATTGAGGGCACGCCTGTAACAGCACTTTGGGAAGCTGAGGCGGGAGGATCACTTGAGGTTGAGGGTTCGAGACCAGCCTGGCCAACGCGGTGAAACCCCGTGTCTACTAAAAATACGAAAATTAACCAGGCGTGGTGATGGGCACCTGTAATCCCAGCTACAGAGGAGGCTGAGGCAGGAGAATCGCTTGAATCTGGGAGACGGAGGTTGCAGTGAGCTGAGATCATGCCGTTGCACTCCAGCCTGGGTGACAGAGTAAGACTCCATCTCAAAAATAAAAATTAAAAAAAATTGAGGGTCCCTTGCCAGTACCATGCCAGGCATGAAGCCATCGGCACTGGAGTGCATCATTTATTGGTGAGCATTTACTGAGCAGGTGCTTGATGTATTACCTCATTTAATCACCATTTGAGGGTGCCTGTGGCCGTTTTACAGGTGGGGAAGCTTCGAGGAGTCAAAGCCTGCTTGTTGTCCCCTGTCCCTTGGGCCAGGCTGGGGCCTCAGGAGCCCCACAGAATAGGACCACTCCCTCATCCTCATCCCAGCCCTTTACTTTCCATCAAGATCTCCCTGAGCCTCTTCCTTCCCAGGCTGAACATCTTTTATTCCTTCAGCTACTCTCTGTGCGATATCGTTTCTGGATCTTCGTCTACCTAGTGACCTGCTCTGGTGATGCCAGGGAGTACATTCTGGAATCACCCTGAACTGGGATCCAGGCTGTGTGACCTTGGCTGAATCACATCCCCTCTCTGGGCCTCAGTCTACCCTGCTGTCAAATGGGGACGTAATGTTGGTAGTACTCATCCCTTACAGTTGTTAGGAGGATTGAATGATCTGAAACATGAAAACAGATTTATTGCTGGGCCTGGTGGCCAGGAACAGGTCAGTCAACATGAGGCAGTACTGTTAAGGTCATACACCCATGTGAGGTCTGATCACCACATCACACGGCAGGATGATCACCTCTCTTGTTCTGGACAATCTGCTCTTTTGGCTATAATCTTAAATTTCACTTGGCTTACACTAATGCAATGGAAAGATTAAGAGCTCTGGAGTTCCATGAAAGTGAATTCAGGCCAGGCGCGGTGGTTCTTGCCTGTAATCCCAGCACATTGGGAGGCCGAGGAGGGAGATCACTTGAGGGCAGGAGTTTCAGACTAGACTGGACAATGTAGTGAGACCCCACTTCTACAAAAAGAAATGTTTAAAAATTAGCCAGACATGCTGGTGTGTGATTGTGCTCTCAGCTACTTGAGAGGCTGAGGCAAGAGATCTCTTGAGCCCAGGAGGTTGAAGCTAAGTGAGCCATGATCATGCCACTGCACTCCAGCTTGGGCAACAGAGCAAGAGAGCAAGATCCTTTCTCTTAAAAAAGAAAAAAAGAGTCAATTCTCAGTGACTTTGGACAAGCCACGTAACTCCCTGAGTTTTGGTTTCTTCATCTGTACAATGGGAATAAAAAATCCTTCACAGAATTCTGGAGAGCAGATGCGGTGATGTTTGAAAGCATTGCAGAGGCTCCATAAA